CGTGTCCTCACCCAGCCCAGCACAGCGCTCGCCGTGTGCCGTGTCCTGCACTGCTGCGTGGCGTGGCATGCTGGGCCGTGCATTCGTTCCCCCCTTACCGCCTCCTGCTGCTCCGGGAAGGTCCTGTGACCCCCCAGGAATGTGCCCAGTTAATTATAGCCCCGACTGGACACGTGGCCCCGGCCAGGAGCTGGGAGGGGCTCATGCAGAGGGAGGTCCGAGGCCCCAGAGTCCTGGGCTGGGGTGGTGGGGTCACCTGTTCCCTGAGGACAAGCAGCAGGGTCAGGTGAAGCTGCCAGGAGCTTCTGTAAACCCCAGGTTACCCTGGGTAGGTCCTGCTGGAGGTCCCCGGCCCATCAGATTCCCCTATAAATCTTATTTACCTCCAGAGCCCAGGGTAAAGCAGGGCCTCCTCATAAGTCCTTGGGTGGGAGACAGACAATCCCCCTGCTCCCCCACCCCCATGGTGGAGGGGTGAAACCTCTACCACCACCCACTGTGCTTCTGAGCTGCAGCCCAGCCCCAGTGACCCACACACAAAGAGCTGGAGGTACCAGCCCCAAGGGCACATGGGGATACCAGACCTTTGGCCCAGCCAAGTGCCCCCAGGACCACCCCGCAACCCACCCAGGACCCCCCCTGCCCACAGAGAGCACATACCAGAGCAACACAGCCTCCTATGGCTGTGACTGTGTGTTCCCCATCACTGTCCCTTCCTCTTTGTTCTCTGATGCCCCAATCTCCTTGTCTCCTGTTCCCTCCCCTCACCCCCCCACATTCCTGTCCCACACCTGTGTCCCCCATACCCACATTCTCTGTCTCCATAATTCACACATCCATCCCCTAATGTCCATCTCTGTACCCCAGTATTCCCATGGGTCGAGCTGTGTCCTCAAAGGTGGGGGAACCTCTCCAAGTCCATTTTTCAGCATTTACCTACCCTGCCTGCCAGGTTCTTTTCCTTCTATCTAGTTGGAATTTCCTCATCTGCAACTTGTGCTTATTACTTCCCACACTTTGCTGTACCCCTGAGCCTGCCCTTTCTGTAGCCATTAGTCAGCCCTTAACCTTCTTCTCTCCGGGTGGAATGATCCTGTTCTCACCTCTCCTTGTGCATCCTGTGCCTTCATGCTCTCCACCTTCTTGGTGGGTTTGCTGGACACAGTTCAGTTTGTTCATCAGAAATTGAACCAGACGTAGCTATAAGCAAAATGGCATCCAAGGGTCCCTTTCAGCTTCAGATATTCCTCAATTCCAACCCTGAACCTGTTGCCTCTACAGTTCCTGAAATGCTTTGTGGGCAAAGCCCCCAGGCTCACAGACACCTTGTTGTGGGCAACCCCCACCTCCTTTCTCACCCCACCTTCCCCATCCTCAGCCCAGAGCCAGGCACCACTGCGGAATCTCTGGCTCCAGACCCTCACAGATGGGCTCAGTGTGGTACAATCCCAATCCCTATCACAAAGTCCCACAGGACCCACTCAAAACTACAAGGATCACCCTGAAGCTACAGCGCAGCCCTCACACCAGTGCACACAATGCCAAGACACGGAGGCAAAGCAGCTCAGCACAGAAATCACTGGGAGAGCAGCAGACAAGCAGCAGATGCCACTTCCCCTCCAGCAGCTCCAGCTTTCTGCACCTCAGCCCAAACACCAGGAACAGCCACACGACACCACAATGTTGGGACAACTGCTGATTTGACCAAATCTTTATTACACGATGTCCTAAGTAGACAGAGCACTAGGAAGCCACAGGGAGGAAAGGTGACATTTACAGCTTGGGAGGTCCTGCCAGCCTCCAGCCCTCCTTGTTCCCGATCTTCACGAGGGCCGCGGTGATTCCGAACCCCAGACAAGCCGTGGTGCCAGTGAGGTAACTGTGAGCTGGAGAAAACACATCAAACCAGAAAAGAACCTGTTAGGGCAAAAGTTCTGTGCAACAGATCTCAACAGACTCTGCCATTTTTCATAGGTCCCTTGACCATCAGCAACACTGCCTGCCCAGAGAAAGGGGAAAAGTAATCTTTTTATAAAATTGAGTTTTCTCATGCTTTTAGCTTGCAATTTGAAATATCAATTTTGATAATCCTCTGCCCATCCCCTTACATGGGCAATCTGAAATGGCTCATTTGAGTGACAAAAGTAACAATCACTGCTTTGGACTCTCACCAGGCTCATCAACTAGGACAAGTAAAGATGAATTCTATTTCACCACAATTACAACTTAAATAAATCCCTCATTTCTTAGGTTCAAGTCTGAACGCCTACAGAAAACAGAGCTGTGTTAGCATCTGCAGGAGCTACTCAAGCCTGACAAAGAGCCAAAGAAGCAACAGCAGTAGGACACAGCTTGTCCCTCAGACCATGTGAAGAATTCAAAAGATTGTACTTTCTGTGTAAAGTAAATCACACTTGTTGCCAAGAAAACATGTATTTCCACAACTACATTTTTCATATCCTGCAATTGTCAGGTATAACTGGTAGTTCTAACTGGCAGTACTAGGTCAGCCCTGCTTTCATTCTGTGCATCACTTTATGTTCCCTTCCGTGTCCCCCTCCTGTAGCCCTGTTTATTTTAGGAGACCTGTACAATGGAGTGCCAACGAAACTGCCCTGAATCAGAGGCTGAGATGAATCTCTATCCAAGAAGCCTGACATCAACATTATTTAACATTTTCCCCAACACAAAAGCTTCTAAAACCAGCAAGGGCTCATTTCATTGCAGGCGTTGTCCACAGTTACCTCTGGCTCCCAAGGCAGCTCCTGCTGCACAGCCACCAATGAAATAGTTCAAAGGATCCTCTGGTTCCTCCCGGACTTGGGCACTGAGGCAGGTACTTAAGCCAAACACAGCTCCCAGTGTAGCTGTAAACAAGAAGTAAAAAAACCAAAACAACCCTCTCAATGACTCAAGAATTCACACTGAGCACGATTTTGATAGAGCAGCTACAAGGGACAATGAAGCAAGATCTGCTTCCCATTTCCCAGGGACATCCTATCCCAGCCACTACAATGAGACTCCGCATCCCTGTCTCATCCAGCTCCCTGTGCTTCCTCCCCCTGCGCCACGCTGGACCCCCAGAGCCCCCCGCGCCAGCAGATGAGGCACCAGAGGTACCTCATGAGGCACAGCAGGAGGTACCAGAGGGGAGCAGCGGTGTCTCTGCAGCCATCTCCCCACACCTGCACAGGCTCTGCTCTCAAACTCAGCCCCCAAGTCCCTGTGAACCTGCCCCGTGGAGCACTGTGCAGAGCAACCCCAACGTCCCTGCAGAACATTAGTCCTGGCACTTTCCTCCTCTGCCTGCCTGGGGCTCACAATGACTTCTAGGTGGTAGACAAATGGATTGAGTTCGTAAATTATTCTTTTTTTGTAAATTGATTTTGAAATTGAATTAAGTATTTTGAATTACATTAAGAAACTGCAAAGTAGCAGCATCCCGTCCACTGAATTATGCACCTCGTCCCCACACTGCTATAGCTGCAAACTTTGGAAGAGAAGGTGAATGGGGAAGAGAGGAGCAGGGAGCTCGGGGGACTGCTCCAGATGCAGATCTGCATGGCTGAAACTCCCTCAGGGTTTTTTGACACAGCTCTTTGCCAAAGACAATGCAAGACAATTACATGGTTTCTCCTTGGCTATAGAACATGATGGGGAAAAAAAACCTATTTACTTTCCTTTTGTCACCAAAAGCATTGCAGTACTTTTCAGCAAATGCAGTTTACTAAACACAATGCCTAAACACATGAAGTAAAAAAATAAGTTTGCTTCCACTATATTATTGCCCATAAACTGGCTGGTTTGCAAATACAGAAAAAACCGTCTTTCCATTTCAGTGTTTCCGGCCAAACCCGACCCAGGGCCGGCAGAGGAGAAAGCCACGGACACCGTGAGGGCCCGGGTGGACCGGGCCGAGGCGAACCCGGCGGCAGAGCGGGGTCCCGGCCCCCCCGCGGTGACACCGCCCGGCCCCGGCCTTACCCACGGTGACACCGGCCCTTACCCACGGTGACACCGCCCGGCCATTACCCATGGTGACACTGTCCGGGCCCGGTCCTTACCCATGGTGACACTGTCCGCCGCCGCCGTCTGCAGCGCGGCCAGCGCCGAGCCGGGCCGCAGCAGGATGATGCGATACGCCGCCCCGACCAGGCCTGCAACACACACCGCGTCACCGCCCGGGCCTGGGCCCCGCCCGGCCGCCCCCGCGCCCCCGCCCGCCCCCGCTGCCCACCCGCGGCCGCGCCCACGCGCGTGGCGAGGCCAGGTGCGCTGCGGGCACTGCTCGCCCTCGGGGCCGTCCCAATAGCCCGCCATGGCGGCAAGGGCACGGCGGAGCTGCCGCCTGAGCACGCGCGGCCCCGCCTCGTCCGGGGGGCGCGCCCGGGGAGGCACCGCGCGGGCACGAGCTCCGCCCCCTGCCCACACCCCCCGGAGCGGGCCGGGACCCCCGAGCCGGGACCCCCGAGCCGGGACCCCCGAGCCAGGACCCCGAGCCGGGACCCCCGAGCCGGGACCCCCAGTCCGTGTCCCGCCTCAGCCGCTGCCCGAGCGCACCCACACAACCGTTTTCCTAAAGGATTTCTACCTCGTGTTCCCAGTTTCCCCACCCGCAGCTCTCAGGCTCTCTGCCCAAACCGGGGGCTCTGAATGCCGTTTGTCAGTGCTGGCTGCTTGGGGGGCGGGGCGAGGTTGAGGCTTCGTGTTGTGATGTGTTTTCTGGTTTTGGTCGCTTTTTGGGGTTTGTTTTTTTTTGGTGGTTTTTTTGTTTGTTTGGTTTTGTTTTGTTTGGTGGGTTTTTGGTTTTTTGGGGGGTTTTTTTGGGGGGGTGGGTTTGGGGGCTTTTTATTTGTGTAGGGTCTAAAACTTTAAATAGAGCTTGGATCATTTTTTATCAATTTTCAAGGATTCGGTTTAAATTCTCTGGCTGTCTCTATGCTGCTGTATGGCCCTTTTTTTTTTCTTCTGTAATAATAAAGATGCTTTGACACAGGCTATTCCGATGCTTTTATGCATTTATTTTTCCAGCTGTTCACAGTTTGCTAATAAAAACATAACACTCTGCCTTCTCAGTGACATGCCTTCAAGCAAAGCTCTTCCCAACCCTTGAAATAGCTCCAGTTCCAACAGCTGAGTGAAGAAGTCTACAACTGTCTCGATGTTATCTCAAGCTTTCTCTCACCTGCCTATTTCTCTTCCCCTGTAAGTTAAAAGTATATTAAATGTTTGATTTCTGCATTTCCCAACATGTTGAGTCCCCCACAACACCTCTTCTCTGGGACAGGAGCTCAAAACAGCTGGAGTTGGATGCTACTGCCCCAATTTATCACAAGGAACAGCTGTTTGTTACCAGCACTTGCAAACGCTCCTCTTCCTGCCGTGACAGCGCTGGGTCCGGCCGGCAGCTGAGGGAGTTCAGGAGCCCTGGCAGCAGGGACGGGAGAAGGAACAGCCGCGGTTCGGTGGCTGGGCCGGGCTGTGTCACACCGTGGATGTTCTGGGCTGTGCTCTCAGCACGGCAGGCAAGTCACCTCCGGTCCGGGGCTGTTTCAGCGCCAGGAGGTGGTGTGGGATGCGGAGACAGTCCCTTGGATCTGGCACTGCTTCCTCTGCGTGCTGGAGAGGTAACTGTTCTTCCACACAGAACCAATGCCACCATCAGGCACTGACCGGCGGTTTACTAAAGGAATCAGGTTTTAGAGCAGCTTTGCCCCTCCTGCAAAGCCTTTTCTAAGCACTTAAGACAAAGGAATTTGTTACCTTTCCAGACAGCAGGATGAGAAAACCCTCAGCTCCAGGGCAGCACATACTGCAAATGCTCTTTCCCCAATATAAATACATGGAATCCACCAAATCCTGCACAGGGTAAGACTTTTCGCCATTAAGTAACAAAGAGCATCCTGGGCTCCAAGCAGCTGTTAAAAGCTCGTCTGAGTCTGTATCCCTAGGCAGATTTGTATTGCTTCTTCCACAAGACAAGGGAGGTGGGACTGACAATTCACATCTCTCCTCCTTAGCAGCAGGTACAATGCCTGTAGTGCAAGACTCAGCGTGCAGTTTTGTGCAGCTCTTCACTTGCCTCACGGATGGACTGCAGCTAACCCTGGGGACAGGCACACGGCAGCTAGGAGTTATCCAGCAGATATCTATCCTCAGGCTGCAAGACCCTCCTAAGGCAGTGACAGCTCATCAGAAAACTGTTACAGTATGACAGAACAGCTACCTTACTATAAACAGGCAAGTTCCAGGGAAAGCAACATATAATTATTGTAACATTACTCTTAAAACATCGAGCTTGGCTCCAAATATTTAAACCACAGACAAACCAGTTTGCTGCTATAGAGTATTAGTTCCCTTAAAAAGGGGAGCGGCTTGCAATGCTACTAGAAGCTACAAATAACCCGGATTCCTTCTGCCTCTGAAACCTTTTTAGAAATGGCAGAACCATCCAGCAGCAAAACACATTCAAAACATTTCCCCATTCTCCCCTCTGGGAAGCTTTTTATAGGGCCTTGTCCAATAGATGTTCTATCTGCAGATGAAGTGGTCTGAACTCTCCAGAATCTGAATTTATTTTGTCTGCTAAATGGGCAACAGACAGGGAGCTGCTTTTCAGAGGACAAGAGAAAAAGCTTTTATGTACAGTCAGTACACAGATGTTCAGGTATGTGTTACCACAGCACACATCCTGCAGCAGGGGCTCGATGACACCTCCTGGTCTCTGGAACACATCACACCGAGCAGCTTTTCCAAGGCTTCATTAGAAGCTAAAGAAAAGCTACTAAATTTGATCAGGAGTGGTTCATTTTAAATACATCCCACAGATATCCTTGCAAAAGGCATTCAGTGCCCATTCCCTGCAACAGAATTACGAGTGTTCTCAGTGACAAATTACACTTTTGTATTTTTACAAAATGGAGTGTCCTGGAAAGGAGGTAGTCAAAAGGGAGCTCTGAATTCTATATTTGAATGAGATTTTTATTTACAGAAATTGTCTGTGAGCATTTCTTTACAAGATACCTGTACCATCACCTAGCAGAGAACAATCAAGACTGATTTTAACAGTCTAGTTTAGCAATTCTCTCTCTTGCACCTGTGTTGCTCTGAGCTGATTTCACAGGAGGGAAAAAATACCTGTAAAATTAAAATATCTTTCTAAGTTCCTGTCTGAATTTCTCTGCTATCCACACAATGGACTGGAGTTCAGTTTAAGCAAGTCAGTGCACAGAAAGACCAAATAACAAGGGGAGAAAAAGCACACAGTGAAAAGTCAGTTTAATGAAATCTTGTATGACAAATTATGGCAATTATCATAACTGGAATTCCTAAAACTAGAGAAGTTTATGGGGAAACATGGTAAAATTTTCAAATATGTAACATGTTTCTAGAAAGGAAATAAACCATTTTCTACACTCACTGGGGGAGAGCAAGAGGCCAGTTGAACTGCAGAATGGGACATGTTAGGAACAGTCATTTAATAGCAGGAATGCCCAAGCAATAGAATCAACTGATATCTCAGTGACTGGGAACAGGGAGAATCCATTACAAAGTTGAAGAGTTTTTTTTTAATTCCTGCAGGCTTCTAACAGTCTGGTCACCTCCCAGCTTGGTTCCAGTGGAGGGTGGCTGAGGACTCATTTATTTAGATCATTCCCTGCCCTGTCTTCTCTGAAGCAGTGCATGATGCACTGGAAACTGGAAAACAGAAAAATGTTGTAATTACACATTTTCTTACCTTAATGTTTATATTTCCTGAGGGTATCATTTTATAGATAAGAGGTTTACTTCTGGCTTCAGTGACACCACCACCCTAGCAACATTTTCATAGACTCACAGAATATGCTGAGTTGGAAGGGACCCATCAGGATGACCAAGTCCAACTCCTGGTGCTGTGCAGGACACCCCAACAATCCCACCACGTGACTGAGAGAATTGCTTCTTGAACTCAGACAGCCTTGGTGCCGTGATCACTTCCCTGGGCAGCCTCTTCCAGTGCTCAGCCACGCTCTGGGTGAAAAACCTTTTCCTGAAATCCAACCTAAACCTCCTCTGACTCAGCTCCAGCTGTTCCCTCGGGCCCTTGTCACTGGTCACGAGAGTGAAGAGATCGGTACCTGCCTCTCCACTTCCCCTCAGGAGGATGCTGAAGACCCCAATGAGGCCTCCCCTCAGCCTCCTCCAGGCTGAACAAAACAAGTGATCTAAGCAACTCCTCATAAGGCTTCCCCTCCAGTCCCTTCACCATCCTCACTGCCCTCCTCTGGACAGTCTCTAAGGGCTTCATGTCTCCCTTACACTGTGGTGCCCAAACCTGCACAGTCCTCAAGGTGAGGCTGCCTCAGTGCAGAGCAGGACAATCCCCTCCCTGGACTGGTGGCAATGCTGTCTGTGCCTGATGCCCCCCAGGAACAGCTGGCCCTCCTGGCTTCCAGAGCACACTGTTGACTCAGCACCAAATGGGCTTTATTACACTCTCCAGTATCTTTTTTCCCCTGGGAAAACCTGGAAGGCTGTGCCCATGTGGGTCAGCAGCCAGAACAGGCTACGCAAGAATTGCCAACATCATCCGTAAGTTAACAACACACCTCAGGGGAAAGAGAGCAGGAGTGTGGTCAAGGGGAAGATTGCTGCAAGGCAGCAGAGCTAGTCACCACCCTCTCTTGCACAGCCACTGCCTGGGACAGGAAACACAACGCAGGGCTCGGGGGTTTTGTTTGCTTGCTGGCACAGGTTTAACGTAGTTCCAATGTACATTTGGATGACAGTCTTATATAGATCTTTTGAAACACATGGTCATTATCTATTTTTGCCTGTCACTGGTTTACTAAGCCTTAAAGCAGAGAGCTAAGTCAGGGTTTTGCTTTGGCCTAACTACATCTTGCTGGGCAGGGCCTGAACTCAACTCACAGCCAATTCTGTCAGGGGTGCACAGTAACATTTCCCTCTTCACTATAAACATTTATGCAAAGCTTCTAGCTAAAATGAGATCTGCATCAGTAAATAGTTGCTGATGTTTTTAGAATGCTCTAGGTGATCATGTACCACCAAAGCTCATCAAAGCAAGCATGCTTATTTCATTTTTTTGAATCTTCATGCACCATCAACTGCATTTTAGGTAAAACACCTCAAAGTGAGACTCAGCATAGACCCCATGAAGTCTGGGACCAGGAAACAACGCCTGTTTTCCCCACAGGCAGACCTGTTCACCAAGACACCTTATTCATTTTCTTTATGAAAAACAACCTGCTGACAAGAAGCAGCTTTATGGTTCAAGGGTGTTTGAAAAGAGTAGTTTTAATCTGAGTACCTTAATAATGTAAAAAGATCCCAGATCCAAAATGCAGATCACTCACTTGAAAGTACAGAAGGCCCCCACACCTTGTGATGCAGAAACAGTTGTGTGGTGGGTACTGAAGAATGTGCCACGCTCCTGTAAGAGCATGGCACGGGTACAGGGTGCAGCAACACATCTGTGCATTGTTAAAACCCCCCATAATTCTAAGGAGAAAAAAAAAACCAAAATGCAAGAAGGTATGAGCAGACAAATCCAAAGATAACACAGATGCAGTGGCACAGCTTTATCATTAGCCCTTTTCACTTCCCAGAAAAGTAATCCAAGGTTTTCCTTTCAACTGGCTATCAGGAAAAGCAAAGCACTCGCTGCTCCAACAGCATCAGTCTCCAATGATGGTTAACAACAAATAAAAGGAAAAAACTTGGGTTTGACTGCGTATGTTTCATTAAAACAGAGGCAATAAGGACTGTTTTGCTATTTGAATATTCAATTTCAAAGTTGATTTTGTGCTATAACCTGAGATTCCATTTTCAATTCATGTTACATTAAAAGAAAATGAAAGGGAAGAAGCATTTAAGTGGTGCATTTTAGATCTCCTTAACCTACAGAAGAACAAGCATGCAAGTGAGAAATTATCTACCAGTAAACTATTTATAAAGGAAATAGAACAATTTGGGGAATTTATAATGAAAGTGACCTGGTCACTGTCATTGGTGACTACCAAGTTTGCTGGACAAGAACATTCTGTATGTTTTAATAACAAAATAAAACTCAACTTTCACACAAAAGGCTCAACAGATTAAAAAAAAAAAAACTAAACAAAAAAAAGTTATGGTTACAGTAGGAGTACTTCAGAATTACACACAGGAAAACACATTCTTGCTTTTATTTTGGTGGAACAGAATACAATAACCTTCAGCCCAAACTACTCAAGGCTGGCAGTATTACCTTTCTCTTCATGCTGCAAGACTGAACAGGGAAAAAGAAAACAGAACAGGGACAGGAAGGGTTAGAAGTTATATTTTCTATTTAAGGCCATTAATTCAGCAAGATATTTAAAAATGTCCTCAACTTTAAGCATGAAGAGTTGCATTGACTTCAGTAAGATTACTCACATGTAGTTAAGTCAGGCAAGTGCTTAAATGGCTTGTTGAATCAAGCCATTAAATGAGAGTTGCTTTGTTATACAATTTATTTTAATAGTTGGTGGAGCTCATTACATGAGCCTATTTTATTCTTCCAAGGGCTAACAGCTATTTCCTCATCAACTTTTCTGAAGGTGTAACCTGTATGCCTCCTAGACTTTACTGTAGCCACAGAAACATAATTTTCTAAGAAAAATTGTATGCAACATCTATTATTTATAGTGGCTTAGCTCTCCCTTAAATAGAACAGTACAAAACAATAGTTTCACTTTTTCAACACACAAGAGCATCTTATTGAAAAACTAAAATAAAAAAAGTATCACCACAATATAAATCCCCAAATAATAATAATGAAATGGGAAGAAAGAAAGGAGTTAGCAAAACATCCTGTGGGCTTTAAAGTCTCTTATTACTGCATTAAAAAAGCTTTTCTGGTGAACCACAATGTTTTGTTTCTCTCCGTTTACAAACCCACTAGACAGGGAACAATGGTGTCCACAACCTATGTTGGGAATAAAAGATAAAAACATAACCTGCCCCATCTGCAGTCCAAAAGGAGAAGAAACCCAAAAGGGCAGCCAGTGAGCATAGGAATTGGTGAAGACACGGTTTCCCTGCATAAGGGGGAGTAGAGGTTACAAAAGCAGAATTCGAGTTGGAACCGCATCGAAAAGTTCTAATCTCGGAGGCCTGCAAGACACGAACTACTGAAGAAACAGTCAAAAGGTCCCAATGAAAAGCTGTGACAAGCTGTAATGTGCCATTTCAATTACAAGGAAGAGGGGAAATGCTTGGGGATGGCTGGGGGATTTTTTTGTTTTGTTCTGGGGTTGGGGTTTTTTGTGTTGTGTTTTTTTTTGTTTGCTTTTGTTTTTTTGCTCATCAATATGATGAGCTTTCAACGTCCCAAACCACATTCAGGTAGTTTCCAAGTCTGCTTTTCTTTGTGTGGAATCTACTGATCCAGACCAAAAAATCAAACAAACAGAACAGGGATGCACAGTTCTTAAGTCCTGGAGCCTTCGACACTGCCTGAAATAATCGCTGGCCTGGGGTGCCCAGAGATGCCTGCAAGATGGTGTTCATAGCAGCCTTGCAAGCAGATTGGCTCACATCTGCTATGTGCTGCCAACGTTCTGCCCATCACCTTCATCATTGGGACCTGAAACGATAAAAGTAATTCTTGGTCATGAGAAATATCTTTTGTTTCTCACCTTACAAAAAGAGACCCATCCCAAGCAGCCCACACAAGCCTCAGATTCAGGTGTTCAGTAACAGATGAGAGCTGTAGAATTTCCCTGCCTTATATTTCCTTCTCCAGACTAAGGTCTGTCCACTGTGGAATGTTATGTTCTTCACTAATCTGGTTCAGGGATCCCAGTAGCATCCCAGAGTCTAAAAGCTCAGCTTCCAACCTCTTCAATCCACCCACTGCTTTTGTTCATATTCATTCCTTCTTTTTACCTGCAGGGAATCAGGATAGAGGACTGGTCTCTGTCAAAGGCTGGATGTTCTAAGGCACAGGAAAGCAAAGTACAGATGACTTCCAAGTCAAGGGTACAATAGGAAGCTTTCCTCAAACTGAAGATTAGTGCTTTTCTTTAAGTATGGTCTCCTCATGTACAATAAAAATCATTACACTCTTTCCATGCCCCTTTGTAAACCTTCTGCTTTCCAAATAGCTCTCTACTCAAAGGTCAGTCTGGATCCTGCCTGCTGATCCCAAGTCATCTCAGGTTTTATGTGCAACCCCTGGCCATGGTGAAGGCAAAAATGAAATTCATAACCACCCCTTAGAAATCCTGTAAAGGAAACAAAGCACAGAAAACTTCAGCTAAACTGTGGCATATAACTCAGAGAGACCCAGCACAGGGGTCTTTTGCCAGTTTGGAGAAGAAGCAAGAAGCAGCTTTATTCAAAAAGCCAATTCGTGCCATAGTCCTACTCCACAGGTCCCTGTGAGAAGTAACAGGCCAGAAGTACATCTTTCATGTACAGGGAGCACAGTCTGCTTTAAAGAACGACACAGAAAAATGCATGGAAAACAGGAAACACTTGTCCTTCTTACTTACCACTTCCAACTGATCCTGAAGGTGCAATGACATCATCATCACTGTCTTCCTCATTTGACTGTGTTACCTCTGGCTCAGGTGCTACATTCTTAACTTCTTGCTCTTGTTCCACTCTACTCCGCAAGGCCAAGATGCGATGGTGCAAAGCAGCAAACAACTGCCCTGTATCTTTAGAGCTCGCCTGCATTTTTTAACAGTCAGAAACAAGAAGGTGCAAGGAGTTAGAATAAAACACTGCCAACGTAATACACACCAGTCAAGCCAAATTTCACAGTATAGTTTTCAGTTTTCTCATCCAGGGTTTTTCAAACCAGTCAGAATGGGCTGTGATACACACAACAGGATACTAGACATACCGAACTCTGGTGGTGAGAGTATATTCTTCTGCTCAGCTCCAACTTCCCCTGGCTAACATATCCCATACTAGCTGATTCCTTATAACTTTCTTCACCTAGAAACCACACAGCTTTTCTAACACCTCCCAAAAGCTTATATTTAAAAGATCTTCAATGAAAATCTTGCAGATTTTTCCAGGTCTGTCAAGCATTCAACTTCATACAGTAGTTAGTCATAATCAAGTCAGTTAATTGTTTCATGATGCACTGACATAAAATTTCAACATAAGATATAATGAGAAAACTAATCAAACAGTCAGGTAGGTTTATTTTTTTTTTCACTCTGTTTCAAAGGGAAGCATTTGCAGACACCTGTCCAAGAATATGTTTTTCTTACTCTCAGAGGTTAATGGGCACTTTATGCCTTCAATACAATCAATTATTAGGCCTCTTAAAATTGTTTCTATCCTCCCCATCCGTCACCTCTGTATCTGTGAAATTCCCGTACAATGAGTTGTAATGAATAAATAATTCCAAGCAAGATACTTTTTATCAATACTAAAATCAAGAGTAAATAACCTGATGACAGATTTAACTCAAGCTTTCAAATCTAGAAGAATACTGAGAAAAACATATCCAGTAATTTCACTGCTTCTTCATCAAGGGATATTTGGTATCATTAAGTTCTACTCTGGGACTCCAGATCCCAGTCCTACAAACCTAATGTTTCTGGGGAAGCTGACCGTTTGTTGCTGTTCTCTTAATTTCTCCTTGTTGCAAAAGTGTAAATCAAAAGAACATATTCAGACCTCTCCAAATCTGCAAGTGCTCTTAGCAGATGTTAAGCAATAACCTCTTCCGTGCTTACTGTATGATGAGCTCTCAAGTGTTTCAGTAATTGTGAATGGCATTGCTGTTCCCCATTTAGCAAGCACAGCAATCCCTTTCACTATCCTGTTACTGCTTTGAATACTCTGTATCGAAAGAAAATCAAAGTCAAAATATGTTACCCTTAACTACTAACACAATGTTCTTGACAGAGCTTTAGTGGTTCCCTTTCAGTAAGCACCTCTCCATCCTCCCACACTGTGACAGCACTTCTGTATCCCAAGTTCCAGCAGATCTAATTTTGGTTAACTATTGCATGGAAATCTATGAAATAACACCCATTTTCCTTAATAGCAAAACCCAATCTGCATTAAACACTATAGTCACAGTAGGTATGGAACAGATCCCGTGACTCCATGGGCAATGCTTTGGACGACGTGGTTTCCTAAAGCAGCCACAGATGTGGCATTTCTTCACAATTAGCAAGCCTTTCTGGACAAGCACACCTGCCAAGCCCCTTGTCTTTGGGGTAGGGGTGATATTAAGGTAGTGTAGGGTGCAAAGAAAAATGCAAATGTTACCTCAACTACAGTTTAAGCAAGCACCTACTTTAGTAGGAAGGTTAAGATGTAAACAAAAACTGATACTCACTGATATAAGAAAAACTTTAACTCCTTGGTCCTCTGTATCCATGGCAGTGATCCGGATACTCTTCTCACTGGCTTTATCAATCTGCATCTGAGCCCAGAGCTTGGTATTTAAGATTAACCTGAGACTCCCCTGAGTCCTCATCACTAAAGCAAAGTTACAAGATCAGTTAGGTGGAAAAAGACGCATCAGGAAGCTCAAAACAACCAAGACAGTGCTGTGTCTTTTTGTTGTGTAAAGGTTTCAGTCGCTTTACAAAGAATATAAAAGGAAAGTCCTTTTGGGGCTTTTGTTACACCTATTAGTAAGAATGTAGGTTTATGTTGGTTTGGGCTGGAATAGGGTTCACTTTCTTCCCAGTGGCTGGTATGGGTCTGTGTTTTGGATCTGTGCTCATCACAGAGTTATGTTTTGTTACTGCTGAGCAATGTTTGCACAGAGCCAAGGCCTATTCTGCTTTTCCTGCTGCTATGCTGGGGAGGAGACTGGGAGATGCACAGGAATTTGGGAGGAGACACAGCCTGGACAGGTGACCGAGACTGACCAAAGGGATATTCCAGACCATATGACATCACACTCAGTATATAAAATGGGGGGAAGAAGAGAAAGCAGGGGGATGTTTGGAGTGATGGTGTTTGTCTTCCCAAGTTATCATTATGCAGAACGGGGCCCTGCTCTCCTGAACATGGCTGAACACCTGTCTGCCCAGGGGAAGCAGTGAATTAATTTCTTGGTTTGCTTTGCTTGCATGTACAGCTTTTGCTTTCTCTATGAAACTGTCTTTATCTCAATCCACAAGTTTTCTTTTACCCTTTCAATTCTCTCCGATTCTGCTGGTGGGGGAGTGAGCGAGCAGTTGCCTGGAGCTTGGGGGCTGCCTGGGGTTAAACCACAACAAGGCTATTAAAGATTATCAGTCATGTCTAAAGATATTTAGTCCAAAGTCTTATATGTTAATACAGCAAAGTTCAGTGGCTGTATCTGAGCTGATAATCTCAGGCTAATGCACATTCCCAACAGCCTGAACAGTCGTGTAGTATTCAAAGAGACTTCCCCCATCACAGGCAACCCCTCCCAAAGGGCCCAGATCTGAACGATGTTACCACCAATTTCTAGTCAAATATTCGAGTTACTAAATACATCTTGCTTTTACGAGGAAAAAAGTAACTGGAACATTTGCTGCAATAGAAGGACATGGAAAGATACTCTCTTTGGAGGCAACGTTCATTAACTGCAGCAAAAGAAAAGGTCCAAACTCCTTCTGAGTTGCTGTAGCTAAGATGACCTAAAGTGGATGTTGCTGAGTGTTACGGAAGCATGCTATGAAAATAGCACGACTGTCAACCAGTATCTCATTTCCCCTGGTTCCTCTTACCCAGTCGAGACTGTAACGTTCCATCATCTGTTGAGGCCATATCATTGAGTCTCAGGAGTCCTCGACCTCTTTCCACCCAAGACTGAGAGCTTTTATCAAATACAAACAGCTTGCACTGAATCTGTAACAGAAAATATCTCTATAGCATAGTGGTTGATTGAAGTAATAATATATTTCTTGTTAATCTGCAATTTCATATTGGAATTTTTAATTGTTCATAGCTGTGTAAACCAAAGCAGTTATCCCCCCTTTTGCAATAAGTTCCCCAAAATATACTGTCTGCTTTCATAAGATTTCATTAACAGAAGCTATATATTCTTAAAGAATACCTGGGTTCAAGATCACAAGAACAAGAACAATTTTCACAGAGAGAAAGATGTGATAAGAAATTGCCTTAAATCAGTCAATTATTTTAAAAGCCTTAGGTACACCTTGCACCACTGGAAGTGGTATTTGTTGCTGGAAAGACCCAGCACAGTGAAAACAAAGCAAAATTTTTCCTGTATTTGGGAAAAAAAGGATGAAGAAACATGTTAGCTCGTGATCAATTCATAAAGCCTGACCCACACGAAGTCATGAATAATTGAGGTATTTCTACTACCTCCTTGCAAGGTTCATTAGTTAGAAAATTCAAAAGGTCTATCTTTTCAAATGGTAGGACTGCTCCTTCTTCCATACAGGCTCCATTTTTCTTCCCTGCCAAACATGTCTACTCTGTATCCCCACCTCTAACCCATCTTCACTGTCACTGTTGAGATTTCATACCTCAAACTGTCACCCCTCAAGTTCCCCACAGATGTGCATGCACTAGGTGGAGAAGATATTCCCATTTTCATTCCCTCCATTTCTTATTTTCTCCACCCTAGAACATCTAGCTCTGTGTACTCTGTTTCTGCAACATTAACACAGTTCTGTACATACAAGTCCCATTTGGAATTCTAGTACACTACATTTCACAGGAAAAAAGAACAAAAGTTTGGCAAGAGGTCTGTTAAGTTACAACATTCATGCAACTTAGTCCTCTATTAAGTATACAGTTGCTAAAAGCTGTGGTTTTCCTAAGTGAAACAGGATTCTCATCTCTTGAGTCTTTTGTTCAATTATGTGAAGCATCCAGACATTTCTGAACTACACAGAAGCAAAAGTACCAGAAGAACTATATAGAGAGCATTCATGTCTGGTAAAAAAGTCAAAGAAGACTAACATTATAGATTATCATTTTTTGTAAGATAATACAAGTGTAACTGATATGCATTAGTTACTGACACAGTGCAACTGTCTGGTGTCAGAATAGACAGCACATCTAAGAACAAAAACCTGTCCTTAAAAAAGAACACAGTTCAAATGCTGAGAAACTTAAAACATCTCAAGAAAAAAAAAAAAAAAAAACAAACTATAATTGAAGGATAAAGAGAGAAGAGGAAAAAAATTCATACACCACTTCATTTTACATGAAACCCTGTACATTCTTCTTAAGGACATACTAATGGTTATATTTAGGTTAATGAATAACTATAATAAATAATGGCCAGTCTTCGCGAGCGAAGATCCGGGGAAGGTCTTTCCACCTTCCAGCCTGCGCATTGGATTTTTTAGGTGAGACACAGTGTGCGCGGAACTGAGCCCACCCTTTAATCCTAAGGTTCATCTGCCGGGGCCAAGCGAGCTTGGACGGTGGCAGCGAGGTCCTTAGGACGTAGGTGGGTTGCCTTTAAGGGCTAACGAGCCCCACCTGCCCGGGAGTGGCCCTGACCGGGAATCGAACCCGGGTCTCCGCGGTGATAGCGCGGCGCCTTTACCCCTAGACCACCAGGGGCTCCAATGAATAACTACAATGCTAAATAAATCACAATAAAAAACAGGAGTCTAAGTCAGGACCAAATATCCTTCCAAAACATCACTAATTCAATTAAGTACCTCAAGACAAGTTCCAAATGCTGTGGTATGGTTTCTGCTTTGCAAGAAACCAGACTGCTGCCATAATTAGTCGATTCCAAGTTTTAAAAAACCCTCAGTAGTACAACAATTAAAAAGAACTTTAAAATATTTAGTTCATTTAAGTTTTCTTCAAATAGTTGTGTTGTATAACATAGAAGCTTCTATGTGATTGATTCAGGAAAATCACCAGGAAAAGCCACTTGGATGGCTTATACACTAAAACTTATTCAGAAAGAGGAAATGAAGAAACAACAAATTACAGGATAATAAGTAAGGATGTGAATAAATATCTGAAGTTTGCACTTTACACAAGAAAGTACATTAAAGATAATAGAGGAAGGTTGAGTTGTAGGAAATCAGATGGTGTGGATTCACTGGACATCCATACGAATCCCCACAAACTCAAAGCTCCTCTGCACTCTTGTTTCTTACCTGTAACACGTTACTTTCAGCTTCCTCCCCAGTAATCACTTCTACCTTCGCTAATAAACACTTCCTTGCTGTTGCTTTAGTATAGGCTGCTGCAGACTCTGCCAGTGATTCTGAAATATTATTAGCTGAACAACATTTTGAGAGTCTGAGAATGATTGGCATATAATTTTATAAGATTTATAAAGGTCTCACACAAGTATACCAGAACTTTGAGAAATTTTGAAAAGTACAGAAGACAGACCTTACTAGAACATGTCAAAAAGGATTGAAATATTAAGTAGAAATTAAAGCTTGTCTTTTAATACTTGTTTAACAAGCACAGGACACAAGGGACCAATGAGCTAAGTTATCTAAAAGTTCTGCTCCTACACACAGTATTTCAAAACCTTTGCATGGACAACTGCATATCTGTATGTGCTCCAGCAGTACTCATACTGCTGCCAGCCATGTGCTTACAAATGGACAGCACAACTCATTTTCCACTTTTATTTGGGCTTGCAAGCAGTTTGCTGAAGAAAACCCATAGTTTCCAGAATTTCCATAAAATCTTGTCAATTTGAAGCCACATAAGTCTAGAATCCAGCAAAGAGTTTTGAGTTCAAGCAATGTATGCTGTACCTGCTTAATGCAATACACACTTGACTCAGACATTCACTCACTGGAAATACAACAGAATTGTTAAAAAAAAGGTTTGCCACATTTCTTCTACGCTCTGGTTCCAGTTCTGTTAATTCCCTCTACTTTAGTTCTGCTAAAGATATTCCCAGTACCACCAAGTGAGCATGAAAAAGGCAGTACATGCTTAATATAAGAGAATCTATAGCACCCAGCACCTCCCACACCCAGCCTGTATCTTTGGTTACAGGAAACAGTAAAGGTAACATAAGAATGTTACATTTTTGAAAAGTAACAGGGCACTGAAAAATACAATAACTTAAACATGGATTAACTACCATTCCTAAAGTTATATTTTGTTTTTCACCTTTCTCTGGCGTAGCCTCCTGAGAAGATGATTCAGACCCAGACTCTGTAGCAGCATTCTCCTTATTACTCTCTGTACTACCTTCATTTGATTTTGGTGGACTCTATCACAAAAAGGAGGTAAACAAAAGAGAGAAAACACACACTTATTTTGCTGAACAGGACTAGTGATCCATTACTGAGAGAAGCCCCACTGTTTATAAATGATATGCAAAAGGAGAATCTCACAGACAAATGCTTTCACAGTAAAAGCCATCCTACTACCCCAGCCAAGGAATTGAACAGTGTGACCTGAAAACCAATTCAAATTATTTTCCCTTGAACTGAAATCAAATTTCAACACCTATTTTGAAGCTATGCTTAACAAAGCAAGCCAATTTCAGCTACAGTTCAGCTCATGGCATAGCTGACTGAACTCCCTGCTACATAGACAGGTATGAATGCTCAGCTTTAAATGCTTCCATTTTGTTCCAGTACAGGAATAAAAACAACAGGAAATAGTGAGGCACTAGAAATTATTCCTTAGGCTGGTACATACTAATCAAACTTTCTGAATCGTACCTCAGTCCTGAGGCAGCTGCCTTAGTGCTTAACTTTAAATCCCATCCTGAGGGGAGTCAAGGAACTGACCTGCTCTCAGTTTTGAGGACAAACATAAAACACTCTCCCATACTTATACTCAACCATTCAGAGCAACAGTCTGTGCCATGAAGTGCTTGGGCACAAGAGCCATGTGCACAACAGAGAGGGCACTGAATCTCCTACACAGGCAGTTTGGCAGGCAAGTCCTTGGGAGAGCACTGCGGGGCAGACAACAGCTCATAATGAACTCCCCACGCTGCATTCAAGGTTACCTACAAGGGAAACCACTGAAAAAACCCCATCCTCAAATGACAAGTACAATTAAAGGCTCTCAAAATTCCTAGGTGAGAATCCATAACAAACTACTTGCAAAATTACAACATATCATATACAGTGGGTACTTACTAGGACTCGCTCACTCATGTTCTGTCCAAAAACAAACTTGTTGCTAGATGCATCTGCACTGTTTGTAGAGCTCTCTACACTGAAAAAAACGCAACAAACAAAACAGGTTTTATAAGACAGAAAATTATCTCCTATCTTCTACTAATAAAATTCCTCACAAAGTGAGTGACTGTCACTAACTTTAAAAAAATTAGGCACTGGTTGATACAAACAGAGGTAAAAATTAATTCAACTTAGTAACATGAGAGCACATACTGGTTTTACTGAAAAAGAATTCTCTCAGAATTATGACAAATGATTTTGCCACTTTTAAGATCTTTCCCTTTAGATAACTAATTATATACGAAGCAATGCTGAATGCTAAGTGAGGGTTTACTGTTTAACCACATAACATACTCTTTCAAAAACAGTATTCTACATGCATAAACTCGAACTACTACACTTTTTTTGGATTAATTTTTTTCAGAAAGGGAAAGAACTGAAACAAATGCACTTCCAGTACAGTAACTGAAACAGAGGTAGCAGGGATAAGTAATGCCTTTTATTAGACTAGCTGCAATACCACAGCCTCTCCAAGAAGTTTCACAATCAAATTTCAGCCTTTACTCCTCCTTTATAGAATAAGCATCCTCCTCCCACTGTTATTTTTATTAAGAGATTTTAAACCCCAGTTTTACTCTTTTACAGACTCAAAAGACTTAACAAGTCATTGTTCATCTGCCTTCCCATCAGGTGTACCTTTCTAAGATACCAACATGCTCATGAAATGAATCGACAGACCACTCAAATCAAGCCTACCTGCATTTCACAAAGTTTGGAAAACAGGGGCACATATGTCACTACATGGTTCAAGTGAAACCAAACAAACCTTTAAATTGTACATGTAGAGTTCCTACTTCTGAATAAGGAGATTCATAGAACAAAGGAGATCCTCAGGGGAAGACAGCTTTACCTACTAAGGGAATTAAATGCCACAGTTCTGAGCTCCAGATGTTAACAGGGAACTCAGTATGACCTACTGGTATCTGCCATGGGACCCAGTACATTTACAATTTTTAAAGGACTGACACTGTTACACAATGGGAGGAATCTCCTTTTACCAGTCCATTACCAGAATGCTTTGCCATCCCAGCTGAAAACTAGGGTCAACTCCCCTTACTGACACTTAGTTTGTTTTTTTTAAGACAAGTCCAAAACTAGGTTTGTAGCAATTGACCCACAGTGAATGAATCCTCCCAAAGTAAAGACTTGAATTACGACAGTAGATATCACATGAGTTGATAAATATGAAAAAATATTCTAGTATTTGAAGTCCACATATTAGCAGTTATTGTCTGCCAAATCTGATTAAACAAATATGGAAAGGCATGCAGAGGTAAAGGTGTTCCCTGCCTCTCATGCACATCATATGAAAAGTTCAGCATCAAAAGTTCATTGGCTGCAAAACTGCCTACTTCATAGTGAACAACAGGTCTTAAAAATGCAGAATATAAGGACAAAGCAAACATGTATTGGTGCTTTTCCTACAATTTTTTCATAGCCTTCATTCAGACAATGCAAATTTCAGCTTGCTCCAGGAACAGATGTTGTTCTACTCCATCACTCTTGGTAGGACTTCCCCTCATGCTTTTCCAGTTGTTACCTGAATTCACAGCTCTGTGTAGTAACATATTATCTTTCTGTTTTCTATTATTTCTGTGTATTACTCGATATTTTTGACCACTACTATGCTAGCATTTTCACAGAGCTATATGGCTACCTTAGCCTCAAGTGAAGGCTGTCGGCTCAGACACGATTAGCAGTTTTCGCCTTAGCTGCCTCACTTTACCTATGCCATCATCATATTTCTTCTAATGCTACTGCCTGATCAGAAATTCTCTCAAAGACTTCCAGTTAGGTTCCTGCTTATTCATACAGACCCTCTACCTTGCTCTGAAAAGCTTTCACTAGCATGAAAAAATAATTTTTTTAAACTATTCTTCCCTTTATCAATATCATGTATGAAACATACTGAACTACACAAATACAGTCCAGATCTCTACAGGATTCTACTGGTAGTTCCAATTCATTCCATCACTGTTCCTTTCTAACCATGAGAAGACTTTTCTCATCTTATGCTTGTTACTTTTGGTGAGGATGTGGTCATGTAAATGGTATCAAAAGTATCTCCCCTGACCAGATGATTGAGGATTGCCCCACATCTGAAGACTGTCATCCCATTCTCCAGAAGCCTGGGTTCCCACTGACCCAGTCTAAACCTTGCATCCAATAAAGAGTAGAATCACAAAGAATTTTCAATCAAGAGTAAGGAGAACTGTCCTATAAGTTTTCCTGTAGTCTCACCTGGAACTGATGTACTGTAGAAAATAGTTAGTTGCAGAAGGTGTATCTGATGTAGGAAGGCCAGCATTCTGCACATCAGCAGTTTCATCACCTTCGTCTCCTAGCTAGAAAAAGCACAAGTAGACATTGACAGTTTTAATTACTGACTGCAAATTTTTCAACTAATTCTTTCTAAGGACAAAGTTCCATCCAAAAATGCTTTTTACAATAAAACAGTATAAGCCTAGGCCCCGATATTACATTCAGTTACTCCATGCAAAGGTTTGAGCCCAGGCAGCCCTTTTTTTCTTTTCTTACCTTTTCTGTGAAGTCTTGGTTGCATGGGAGCATTTCAGGATTGCATTTCAACTTAATTCTGACTCAAAAGGTAAGACAGAATACTACACTGCACTGAGTTTTAGATGTTACTTACGATTGCAGCAGATGCATTTATTTGTGAAAAAGTTTCTTATGCTACTTAACAGAATTAATTTATTTATTAGATGTCTAAGATTTAGTTTCATTAAACAGCCAATCTATGGTCACAACTTTTAATTTTACATATATACATGGAGGTTTTAACCCTGTCATTTAGTAGCTTCAAATTACTTCATAAACTTAGTTAAGAGAATAAACATGCTTACCTTAACTCTGTCTCTTAAGTTTTGCCCAAATACAAATGCTTGCTGTGCATTTAGTTCAGCCTTCTCACAGCTGTTATCTGAAGTATTGTTGGACTCCTTTTTCTGACATTCTTCTGCCTAAAGAAATGGAAAAATGCAGCCTAGGTATCTGAGTTTCTTTAAATAAACACACGTTATGACATGGTGAGTCACACACTCATTTACAATGATAAGCCAGTAACATCTCAAGAGCTACAAGGCAAGTTTTGCATTTAAAATAATGTAGCTGTTGTTGTTTAGAGTGTTTTTCTTAACAAATCACAGAATAGTTAAGATTCGAAGGAATTTCTAACAGTTGTTTGGTCCAAACAGTGTTCAAAGCAGCATCAGCTGCAAACTTAGGCTAGGCTACCCAAGATCTCATACAGCAGAGCTTCAAAAACTCCACAGACGGCAGTTCTACATTTTGGTAGCCTAGTTCAATGTACAAAGCACTGAACAGGATAGTTTTATACTGATATCCATCTGGAATCCCCCTTCACTACACCTGCAGCTTCTCATTCGTTTGGTAGCCACTCCCAAATTTCATTTTATCTTGCCACATCCCACCACCTGACAGCTGAGGAGAACAGTCCAATTCAATCCCTGCCCTAGTCCAAGCAGAACACGCTCACCTTTTTCATTACACATCATGTGCTTCAGCCACTAGTCCCCTTGGTGACTTTTAAGTGTCTTTCATATACTGGTAAGCCCCAAACTACACATGATACTCATGATGCCACCCCACCAGTGGGAAGAAAAGGGAATGATCACTTTTCTGAACTTAATGGCTGCAGTCTTGGTAAAGCAGCCCTGTAGGTTCTCTTCATCAATAAAAGGGTGCACACTGGTTATTTGTGTTCAACCTATTGTTTATGATTGCTGCACAGCACCTGAAAGTTCCTGAACTTTTTGTTCTGCTAAGGACCTTATTTCTATTCCACATCTCTGCTGCCTGCTTTCCACAAGCAGCTCCAGGACCTCTCCCTGCAGTTGCTGGGGCAACACTTTCCCTGATTATTCCCATACTATAGTTCCCATTTCATTACACTCAGGGTCTTGCACCCGGCAAACCCTTAGAGTGGTGTTGGAAAGCAATTACAATCAGCATGGGAATCACCCCCTTCCTCTTCTCTTCCTATTTGCTACCCTGTATCTTTGGATACCCATGGGAATACCCACCATAATGCACGCATAAAGCTCAACAAGTGACCCGCACACAGTAGTTGCCCCTCAGCAAAGCATGTGTCCATCAGCATCAAGAGCATCATAAGCAGAAAATAACCCAAAAGAATAGGAAGTCTGAGCATGTTTTGATGAAAACTATGTAGTTACTATGGGAAGAATATTAGGGGGCACCACCTGCTCCACTCAAGAGGACACCCAGGGCAAGATGCTATGCAGGGAACCCCTGTTACTGGTCTTCATGGTTGGCCAATGAGAAGTCTTCCCTCTTCTTTCCCTTTCTGCTTTCCCTTCCTCCAAAATAAAATAACTGTCACCCTTAAAAGCAACACTATGCGCTAGAGACCTGCCAACAAATTCCGTAAAGAGAATTTGTCTCAACATTCTTCATACAATACCAGGATCTCCAAGACTTGTCTGCACAGCTGCTTTCTAGCCAATCCCTCTTCAGTTCTTGTGACACACAGGTTCTCTCACCCCAGGTACAGAACTTTGCATTTGTTGACCACCAGTTTGTTTCTCTTGGCTCATTTTTTTTCAGCCTGCTGAGAACGTGCTGAACAGCCCATCTTCCAACATATTGACCATTTCGCCTTCCCACAATGTACTGGCATCCACAAACCTAACAAGATTCACTTCACCTTGCCAGGTTATTCACGTAAACGTCGAACAGTCCTAAGGAGTGCCTGCAGTGACTGATGCCTGTCAGACTTCCAGCCACTGGCTGCTTCCCTCAGCACCAGCATCCTGTCTAGTCCTGTAGACCTGTATGTGTCAAACTGTCTAAAACAGTCCTTAAGAAAATTTACTGTAATAACTCAGTCCCCCAAACTTCCCCTATAAAAAGGGTGTTGGTAGACCTGACAGCAGACCCCTTCAGTAGAAATAAAGACAAAGTCTTGACTCACTCAGATTTTTTCCATCTCCTTCATCACTAAGTTCCCTCTAACATTTTGCAGCAGTCTACAATTTTCCTTCATCTTGCCTTCGCTGTCGATACCAGTAGAAGCCTTGCTTGCAGCCCTTTCATCCATGGTCAAAAGGAAAAATCATTACTCTAGAATCTCCTTAACAGATTCTTCTTCTGAATAAGGATCAGCATGCCCCTGCTACCAAAAGGGCTGAGAGCTGCATGGTGGGCTTGACCAGATGCCTATCAAGCTTCCCTGCACATCTGATGATTTTCAGCCACCAGACTCTCCTACCAGTTGAGAGAGGTTGGATCAAAGGCTGCAGCTTGTACCCATCTAAGGTCTGTGTTGCTTAGGGCTTCTGCAGTTTCCTAGGGATTATCAAGACAGAGATCACATAGGTACAGGTTGCCACAGAGCCACTCAGAGCAGGACAGCCACCAGACTGAGAACATTCCCACTATGCTACCTTGTATAAACATAAGACAGAGACATCAAAGAAAAATCTTTTCTGCCAGTAAAGTAAGACTGTGACTCACATCTGCTCTAACAAAGGCAGACCATGCTCATGTAATACTGCAAAATACCACATACTTGCCCTCACAAGGAAGCCTTCTCTCTGTGGTACATCAAATCTATCCCACAGATCTGCACGTACAATTACTAATACAACACAATTCCAGAGGTAATCTTTCACTCTTATCAAACAATCTAATATTCTGCAGAGACTCCAGCATTTAACACAACTACTGCACGAACTCAAGTAGCTTCTACCTGTGCTAGAAAGCTTCAGGCAGACAAAGCTGACTACAAATGTGAAGACAATTAAGACTATCCCACCACATTCCTTGGTAAAATTGCAATTCAGTTAGGAATTTTATACCATTTAATATTGAGCCTCAGAAAACTTTCTCCCAGGTCAGTTGATTAAAAAAGTTAGGAGGACTTTTGGATGTTAAAAGCACAAAGAGGTTCTCCCTAACAATGTATGCAGCAGTAACAAGCGTGTTCCACAAAGTTTTCAGGCTGGTCCATGCGTGGAATTTACTTATCATTACTCAGTCATGGCAGCAGTCCTAAACCTCAAAAAGCCAGTCACACTGCAAGTGTTTCTGCTTGGATATTCAGGATTGAGACTTGAATTTCAGGTGAACTGTTCCACACTCTTGCACTAAATAATACTACTTCCGTGATCAATGTGGCATCAAAAGCCCACAATCAAAATCCCAAAACATCCTCTCCATGCCATCAGTCAGGATCTTCAGACGCTAATGGTGAGCTCAAAGGAAAGAAAGGACTGGATACACTGCACAGAACTGGAAGGAAAATTGTCATTACTTTTCTTTCAAGATAGTAAATAAACAACTTCTGATGCACTTAAATGTCTTTTGCTCTAGGTGAGGCTTTTCAGCCTCTCGTTACCTGCACTCTCCATTTCTTGTAGGGAACTCATTTAATGATGCTGGGTTTTTACTCTGTTCAGAGAATATTTAAAGTCTGTTACTTTGACTCTCCTTCTCCAACTCACCTTCTCTTCAGAGTCAGAACTTTTCAGTGTTGCATCACTTGGTAATTCTGATGTGGCTGCAGAATCTGGTGAGATATTTACACCATTAGTGCCACTGCTGAGAACTGCAACACAGAAGGAGAAAATCACATAAATTCTCTAGATATTTAGGCTGTCCCAAAAGTTTTCTAATGCAAATTGCATGCTGTTTTCTCTTTTAAGTCCATGAAACGTTGCAATGCAAACTAGAGCTCCCACAGTATTTTGCAAAAGACGTAAGGACCACAATTCAGCAGTTCTTAGCAGAATCAAAATTTCAAACAGAAAAACAAGTCAGCAAAAAAAGTCATTTAATCAATCAAGTGCTGCAAGCACTTCAATACATACAACTTCAAGCAATCACCCTGCTCCAATCTAACACTGTTCCAAAGAAGGCTCCTCTTCAGGCTGGTTTACCTACTCACGTACTGAACTCACACTGAAAATCTGTACTCCAATACTAAGTTTTCTGTAGAGTCCAATCTGTGACAGCAGACATGTCAAGAAATCAAGCTAGAAATGTTTGCTTCTATGCCAGATTCACGATTAACTGAAGTTACTCAATTTTTCTGTTCAACCAAAATTCCACATAACAAAAGGCATCGGGCTGGGGAAACACAGAATTTAGGAGACATGGACACTTCAAACAGTTTTTCTGCTTTAACCTCCAGTCTTTATTCATGCCTATTTCCATCAGCTATATCAAATTCCATAACATTATATGAATGATCAAACTTAAGAATTAAAATTCTATCTCAAAGTCACAACTCCAAAATGGTCCAGAAGCCCAGAGGCACCTCTCAGCAATTTAGGCATTGCTGATCAATTATCAATGATAGCTTATGACACCATGGTCAATGCTGTCTGTCATTTGAGATTGCTAGTCCACACACTCAGAAGTCTTTTTATCCCAAAACTCAAGCATGGACTACACTAAAGTTAGAGGTCTGGCAACGTCAGACAGTTGTCTTACACAAGACCTGAAAGTTCCACTGTGTTATCCCTTATGTAACACAGACACACTTAACATTTAAGATGTTTCTCTTCTGAAAGGAGACACCTAGAAAAACTAGGTGGATGTTGAGTAAACCCAAACCACTCCATTAAACAGACTGAACATTTTTGTTCTCTCTCCATTGTATTCTAGAAAGCAAAAGCATTATTTACCCATTTGTGAGAAAGCTTTTGGCTGTGGTGCCTGTAATACTGCTGGACGGAGCACACTTCGCTGCTGTTCCTTCGGTTTCTGGCTAGGGAGACCTGCAGGTGCAAAGTTTTTTCAAGAGCTATAAAGCTTTAAAGTTGAAAAGTTCAGTTTCATCTAATCTTCTCTGTAACTGCTCCCAACAGAACATACAATGAAAAAACAGACATCAGACATCCACTCCCTTCTTTCCCGTCCCTCACTCAGCCTCGAAACAAAATTAGTCCAAAATAGAGAAGACTACTTCATAGCCTTAAAAGACACACTTTAAAATATATTCTCTACCCAGGAAAGCACAGAAGGAGAGTTTACTACTGACTCAGAAATAGAAGTCAAAATGTAGGAGAAATGAACAGTACACCAGTAATCCTATTTATGCACTGACATTTTATTTAATTACACATTCCAACTCTTCTTTTCTCATACCATCGAAGTAATTTCCAGATATTGGTAAAAGATTTTTTTTTCTTCATACAATCAAATGTATTGGTAGTGTAATAGTTGAGCTGCGTTGTTTAACAACTTTTTGGCTTTTTGAATTAACCTGGCCTCTTTGGTTTGCTATAGCTAGATACACAGCACTACAACTCTAATTCTGCTATGATTCAAAAAGCCAACTGACCTCAAGCAACCTACTAAAAAATCCCAAACATCATCACATCAGCTCTAGAAGGTTACAGCAATTCCAGAAGGTTCAGTTTTCTTCACTGAACAAGATGAACTCTTGATCCATTATAATACTGCAAGAGAACTCACTCATAGCAGCTAGCTCCGTTTCAGGCCACCCATATTCAGAGGACATGACAACAGAATGTAACAACTATCCTAAATTCAAACGTTCACAGTCAGCTCAAAAAAGCTTGTTCCTTTCTTAAATTTATCATTCTTCCTGCAAGTGAAATAAAGTTTTCATATCCATATGTAATAATAGCTTCCATTATCTAAATAGCTTTGGGGTTTTTTTCCCCTCAAACTCCTAAGGAGCTGTAATATTTATGTCTTTTCCACAGTAGCTGGGTCTACATCAGTAAACAGGAAACTCAGTCACAGCCAACCTGCAGTGCAGAACAGGCAGCATCAAGCACCCACTGCCCACACTGCTGCCAAAAGTCAGGGAGAGCACAAGCGGGGAGTGACTGACACTTCAGACTGCCCTGGCCTGGTCCCAGTCTGAGCACCCAGTAATGGCTGGAACTTGCTTGGAGCACTCCTGGAGCACCCCTTTTGTTCCAGTTCACAGACCCCAGGACTACTCCGAGCCCAGAATAAAAGCCTGCTAAGCAGAGACAGCCAGGATACACTTCAGACACGCAAGACACGGGTGTGTCCATACACACACACACTGGATTGGGCACAACCACTCCGCAGAAGACAAGGTTTTTTATCTGCAGACACACAGGTATTGCCACCTTCTAGTTACAATAGTAGGTTGAAGAAACTACTAAATAAAATGCTTGAACTGGTTTCTTTGTACTCTTGCAGAAAACAGTGAACTCACCTGCACTAGGTGCCTGACCATGGATAAGTATTGGTGGCTTCAGCCGGAATCCACTGCTCTTTTCCTCTGGAAGTAAAACAAAAAATTACAAGGACAAAGCTGTAACATGCTACAAACATCTATGCAGTCATAAAATTCCTCCTGTTTTCCCTGTTGTAACAACCCAAAAGTTCTATACACATCCAAAGATATTAGGAGATTTCCAAAGAAAAAAATTCTCTTCTTCCAAAAGAAATCTGAATTTCCAGTGATCATCACATCAAACACACATTACAGACAAACAAGTTGTTGCAAGCAAAAAATTCAACTTTTTTTTCAGAAGAACAGGAAAAAGACTGTGTTCCCAAGAGAAATGGAGCTCCTCCTGTGAAGAACTTAATAGAGATAGAGGTTTTAGGTGAGAATCAAACCAAAGAAAGGACAATCAGAAGTCTTCTTCATCACTCACAAAGCATGAAACAATTTTCCTATTTATTATTTTAATTACCTCCAGCAAGGATGAAGTCAAACAATGAGGTGAGCAAGGTAACAGCTCCAAGATCAGAACCATCACCACTTCCAATCTCACAGATAGGGTCTTACTTCTGAAGTATCAGAGTGCTTTGGATCATGACAAATTGATAATATTTTGAGAAAAAAAGCAGAAAAATGAGGAAGCTCACCTGGTTCTGAGTCAGAATTGCCTGTAGAGGGTTCACAGAAGCTTGATGGCATAAAGACATTGTTCTTTGTTACTGTAGTCAAGGAAAAGCAAAAAATTAAGGGAAGTTGTGTATGTTGTTTTCGATTATAAACCTGTTTCCAAATGTATCAAGGTTTCAAATGGAAAATTATTTTTCTAGTAATTTGTTCTTTTTTTTTTTTTTTCTTCTAAACTAAAACAGTATTCAAGTCAAGGTAATCAACAAGTCATTGCCCTTAAATCTCCCTAGTTTCTCCTGAAAGAAAGAAATTGTATATGAAGTAGGAATTAGAAGTGATGTTAGAATGTATAATACCATTACAAATTAGGTATAACATTTCAAAAGCACCCTGCAGAGAGGGCAGAAAGGTGTGTAATGCCTGCTAAAGAGCAGGAGCAAACACCTGGTTTCTGAGGGATGGCACAGTCTGCACCAAGAGCAGCCAGGTAACTTAGGTTTAAACTGCCTTGCAAAGACAAAACTCCTGCAGACAGAGAGTACAGAGTATTGGCAGATGTCACTTCACCAGCATAGCATCAACAAAAGGGAAAAAATGTTTGACAGGAATGGGCAAAGGACAATGGGCAAAGGACAGCGTCTCTTTTCCCCCCTTTGCTGGGACCTAGAGAAGCAAGCAGTTGGCAGTTTGGTTGTGGCTCTGTCCAGCAGTTCCAGTACCTTCAGTGTTATACAAAGACTCACAACCCATTTTATGAACTAGGACCATCAGAGGAGACAGAGGCACTAAGAGTCACAAGGCAATAATAGCGGGGGGGGTTTTGTCTCCAACAGATCATCTTGCACGAGGAAAAGTATAACAGTAGAAGCTCTTTTAGCTTCTATAAGGCTGTGGAAGAAGCTTAAGTATTTTGAAAAGAGAAAGGAATCTCATATCTGAACACCGTTGTACTAAAAGATGCAGCATTTGACCTTTACAATTAAAAGGCAATTTTTTTCATATTTGCTTCTTTTCTTTAATTCCATCTTCTCTCTTTTCATTACTGTCTGCCTTAAACATGACACATGTTTCATATAAGTAAAACTTCCCTACTCTGGAGAGAAACATAACCCCACAAAAAAATTAACAAGTTGGGAAAGTGAAAGATTTTCTGGAAATTAAAGCCATCAAATAATGTCAACAATATTCAAAGAGGCCTTTATGGAAGTTGCAATTCCAATCCAAGTTGTCACTTCTTGACAACAACACACATCAGAAGGGAATAAGTGAATCAGGGAATAAATGCCCATATCCAGTCAGAATACATTAGCTAAACAGGTGCTTGAGAAAGTCTGCTGGACTCCTGGAACAACCACTATTTAACCATGAAAGAGCTTAATAAATTGTTTTCCTCTACTTCTTCAACATTAGCATAAAGATTTCTAATCTCATAAGATAGAGACACTAGGGAATGGAAGTGTTAGTGATTATAGGGAATCTGGGAGTACAAGGTCTGGCCAAAAGGAAGCTCCCAACATGCTATAATATACTGTTATTCTAACAGAAAATCTACAGACCAAAACCTCCTATTCATTACTTCTGTGCAGGCAATTCCTTTACTAAGTGCATGGTGCTTCCCTGACTAGCACTGGTGCAAGAAATGAGAATACCATGCCCATAAAGTATCAGCAACTAGATTTTCAATTTCATAGTCGCTTACTTCTTTAAATTAAAAGCAAAATAATTAGGCTTTCACCTTTTAGTCACATCTCCTGAATGTGCTGCATGTGACAGGAATACTTTTTTACTGTTCTCTTCTTTATAAGAAGTCTTTCTCATCCCCTTTATTTCAACTAAGATAGTGGAAATAAAGTAGCAAAGTCTCCAAATCTGCCTCAAACACTGACATATCTTAACTAAAATAATCGTCAACCAAAACTAAAATCTCCATATTTTCTGCAGAGAAAACACAAATCTTAGGAGATTGTTCCTGTGGGTGAACAAATGTGAAACATGACCATTCCTGTGCACATGAACTGCACAAATTTACCCCAGTGATTTCACTGTCCTGACTGTGCACACATGGGCTGTGGTCATTCTCTCTTGCATCTGCCAGGTGTTTCAGGGAGGCACTAAATCCTTCCCATTTTAAAAAGGATGGGAGAAAAGAGAAAAGGACTATAACAAGCACAAGCTAAGACTGGGAAGATTTCCCGGCAGCAGAGTAACTAAGAAATTCAAATTTGTTAAGAAGCAATCTGATCACAACAAATCAAAAAGATTTCTGGTTAATTCTTCATTTTAACAGCACAAGATTAAAAGTTGAAAATACAAATATATATAAACTTACAGACAAAAAATATTTTTTAAAACTATTTCTCAATTTCTTTGGGTTTCACCAAATTTGTTAACATGGATCGTAGAAAAATAGAGAGTACATGGTTGCTGTGGTCTTAAGACAAAGCACAGTAGACAGAAATAAGACTGCTAACATGACTGGAAAAAGGAAAGGTCTAAGAAGGAAACCCACCCCTTGTATACAATATCATAGCAACATTTACCTGACTGAGGAGGGAACTGAGTTAAGGATGAAGTCCTCTCCCGTTTTACAGGGGGACAGTAGCTTCCATCCTCTCGATCAGATTCTGTAGAAAAGAGCAGTTAGAGAAAATGCACAGTGCTCCAACAAGACACATGCTCGTGGCTTTTAAACTTACAATAAAATCTCTTACCATCTCCATCTTCTGGACTTGATCCATCTGCTGATCTCTGAAATCAGATTACAGTAATCAAACAAAAATCACAAACTGAACATTTCAGTCTCTTCAGATTGATCCAAGTGATTCAATAATCAGTTTGGAGATTTTTTTCTTTATTGTCAATGACATACACTCAATGCAAAGCATTACTTTTTATGATTTACATGTAATCATATAGAGCTTCACTCAGATACTATTAAATACAACTAATTCAAAATATTTCATTTACAACTAAGATTTCTGAAGATTCATATACAAGCATTAATATCCTTAGGGACTATGTAACAATTATTACAGTTACATTTTCTATACAGTGCAAATCTGAAAATGACAGTTTTCAAATTTGGTTTGATTTTAAAAATATCATAGAAGTTTAAAGCTCAACACAGACATATCTATTATTTGGAAGTTCATTCCAAAGCACTTGCTCTAGTTACTCTAAGTGACATTAGTTCTTTCAAAAAAGTGACAGCACTGGAGGAATGTCTTTGAAAGCACACCCTATAAAGCAGTACAATAGTATTTTCATTGGAATTAGCAATGGATAGACTCCTAACATCTTCCACGCTACCAGAAACAAAAAAGAAAGCACCACAGGCTGTCAACTATCAAAACATTCAAAAATGTGATGTTTGAACACAGTTTACATATTTTCTGAGGATTTCTAGGTCTCTTTCCTCCTACTTCCTCTGCCAGTTCCTCAGCTAATATACAGTCTCCTTTACTCCTGCAAAGCGTAATCCCACGATGCATTCCTTTCACTCTGGAAGGTGGCCAGGGCAGCACTAGCACTTTTATCTCGTTCCAAAACATTTTAGAATCATAGAAATGTTTAGGTTAGCAAACACCTTTAAGATCACCAAGTCCAATAGTTTCCTCAGTACTGCCGTGCCCACCACTGAACCATGTCCCCAGGTGCCACATTCACACATCTTACAAATCCCTGCAGGGATGATGACTCCACTAATGCTGTTGTACTGGAGTCATCCCACGTATAACCACAGCGTTGCACAACCCCTTTGGGGAATGGGCATTTCCTAATATGCAATCTAAACCTTCAACTTGAGGTCATTTCTTATGTTCCTGACACTTGTTACCTGGAAGAACAGACCAACACCCACCTGGTTGCACCCTCCTTTCAGATAGCTCTTGACATACTGGACCTTCTCCCAAGTCCAACACTACCCTTTCATCCCAATCCTGCCCAGGACATGCACACAGACACCTCCTCTCCACACAGTCTCTCTTCAGAGCTTGGCTGCTGTGGGGAGGAACAGGTAGAACCCACAGCAGCCCCAAAGGTCCTCCCACACCAGGACTCAGCCCCTTGGACACTGAGAGCAGGTTGGCACACAACAGCACTGGCTAAGTCCACAGGACTGACATCTGAGGAATACCTTGTGTATGAGAATACCAGAAAATATGAAACTTTCCATTTAGCACTGCATATATTTAGAACCCAGATAGCAGTGTACTGTCAGTATTTCACTAAATAAAAACCCTTTACTTTGCCTATGCAATTACGAGCTTTTCTGTTTTATTTTACTTTAAGAGTATAGTTACCTCACTAGCATCCTAGTTGATACTTTAGAAACTTTTAGCTTAGAGAATGAGAAGCTACTGACAGTTCCAGAATGCAATCCCCTCCATTCACACACACCTATCAGTGTTAATACTGCACCTGGATCATCCGTGGCTCTTCCTACATAATCAGTCAAGTAGTCACAGTACTAGAAGAGTCATTGCCCTTGCCAACATACATTAGTTTCCCAAAAGAAATGGAAAATCACGTTATATATATTTCAGCAACCAGCATCCAAAATCTACTTTGCACAAAAAGTGTTGTCACATATACCAGCAACTCGTTTCAACTTTTATCAAAAATCTGAAAGCAAAAGGAACACGTTTGGTAAAAAAATTGCATGAATGGAACTGCAGATCTCAATATGCAAAAATCCTTAAAAATAAAGAAGTGGTTTCCTCTTGAATGTCAAAAACTCCTTAAGCTGTTACTAATACGTGTTGTCCTCTCAATGCTCAAATAACAGTCAAAAAAAAAAAGCCAAACCTGTATAGCACAAGCCTCAGATCATCACATCCTTGTAATTTCACTGACACAAGCACAACTAATGTACCATCACCATGTTCAGTGGGCAAGGGGCATCCAAATCCAAAACTAACTCTGTACCCTATTGAGGGCAAAGCACAGTAGAGCATTTGCTCCAAGTTATTTCCATGCTTCCTAGTCCAAGAGTTTCGGAAGATTAAAGCTGTGCACCTTGGGACAAACAGGCAGATACCGTGGAAGTGTGGGTACACAGATGTACTGTATAAGCTTCACTTTTGTATGAAGCCACACAATAAAGTTACCATTGCAGCCAGAATTGCTTACCAGTGCTGCTTCAGAGGAAGCTGGGGAGACTAGACAAAAATCAGGGGAAAATATCAGGGGAATATATGTATGACAAACCTGACAGCAAATTACAGCTAATTGCAATGAACAGCAGTCCAGCCTCTTCATTTCAGGCCTCTCTTCCCAGCCTAGTCAGTCCACTTTACAGCAACACATGCTTTACACAAGTACGCTACACAGCGGAAACAAAAGGCAGGACCATCTCATCTTGCAAGGAACCACCAAGGTGACTCAATTTCTCTCCATTCAGTGCTTTGGAATTAGATGCTGAAGAGACACTTAAACCAGTAACATCAAAATCCAACCTACAATTATCTCATTCAAGAGCAGAAGCCACCCTTCACTTACTCTCTCCTCCCCCTGCTTTTAGAAATCCAGCTACAGGAAAGTTACAATTATTTCTAAATAGAGCTTCCTACAATTGTGACACACTTCTAACTAAGGAAATTACCTTTATAAATGCTACCAACTGCTTTTTAAAAGTGGCAGTGATAGTAATTAACTAGAGTACAAACATTACTTCCTCACATAGTTGCTACATCAAACTAAGAGAGAAGACCTTAAAAACTTCAAGAAATTTGTCAGTTTTCATTTATTCACAATAAATGAACAGAAACAGGAAAGGGAAGGGAGAATTTGAGCAAAGTAAAAAAAGGGCCAATGTAATTCGGGGAAAGCTGAAAGAGTACACATACAGTGTTTATCTTTGAAAGCACATTTAAGATGCAAAAGCTCACATATAAAGGACTTCAGAGCACAGTAAGGCACATTTGCAGTCAAGACACCTTGCACATACAGAGGCATATTATTGAATGGGCACAACTTGCTTAAGTGCTGTCCTTACCCAGCGAGCCCTGCTGGCACAGCCTCGTGCTGTGGGAGGCTGGCCTGGCTCAGAGCCTCAGGATGTGACCATCAGCTCTGGGACACACTGTACCTCTGATCACACCCTGTTCAAATCTGAGCAAAAATATCTGTCTGAGTGTACAAACAATACCAAGTAAACAAGAAATATGTAGTGTCTCTTCTTCAGTCTTAATTCACCCATCCTCCCAAGGCCCTAGGAACATTGCATGAAAACTTGTGCTCCAGCAAATCAGTACAAGCACACTGAAGATACATCAACCTTCTCTATGTTTCAAGATAAGAGATGTTTTACTCTAAGAGATGGGCATAATTGGAAGAGTGCTTGCCAGTGCATGTGAAGGCCAGTTACATGCCCCTACTGAGCACTGTACAACTCCATAACTTTAATTGAATGAAGTCAAATTCAAGGATGCTGAGATAGCTGTACTGTACTGCCACGAATTCCTGCATGTGATTCCCAACAGTAGTTTTGGTTTTTACATTTCTTTCAGAACTGGGTTAACTCAAGTAAGATTTTCTGCTCTCTAAGAACAAGACTAAGACTTGCTGCAGTTTTCCTGAAAGTCTGGTTAATGCAGTTCTCTTGGACAGCTCTACTAACACTGCAATTTCAAATGGCAGAAAGTTGAGATGAAAATCTGTGACTATGTTGACCAGTTATATTTTTGAGTATTAGTCTTTGAAAAATTTCATCTTCAAAAAAGAATCTGAAACAGAAAGATTTCTGCAGTGGGTCATCAAGCAACAGTTTGAACATGGAAATGTGCTTAACCTTCAGCTATTTGCACCTTGTCATGACAATCCATTCAGCACTGAGTTTACTTGAAATGGTCCATTCTTGGACTAAAAAAACCCCAAACCAACTAGCCAAGAAAAGGGCGCAGGTACTGGGTGGAGTAGCCTTAACAGGCAAAGATCTAGCAAAGAGCACATGCCTAGGGTGTGGTGTCACAGTGAACAGCGATACTCACCTGCACCAAGAAAATATGGTCCACCAACCAGAAAGATTACGAACACTTAAAAGTGCTCTGAAAAACTGAATAGCAGCAGTGATTTAGTCATCTAATCTTTCGCAAAATATTTTGCTGCACCATCAGTAAAAAAATTCTACATTATGAGCACTGACAGTTTTTCCAACCACAAGGTACTGACTTCCTCCCCCATCAAATACTTAAATTCAAAATTCTGTGTTAGTACGATTCTTGGTGCTTTTAATCTATTAAGTACCTTACAGGTTGTCATGACAAGCTCCTTTTATATCCAGTGAAAGCACAGTATTAACTGCTTGCTTTGTCAAGCTGCAGCATTATGGTTCAGATGGAACAAAGAGCTCTCCCCTAACTGCTTAAAGCAAATCCCACAAATACAGATGCACTTTCTCACTCATTTAGGTAAGTGCTCTCATCTTTAGCAAACATATAGTTTACACCCTAAATTTTAAAATACTTCAGGCATCTTCTAGAGTTACACTACTAGTGAGACCCAAACGAATCTAATTTCTGCTAAGTAGAACAAGGACTTAGAGAGGACTAACACTTGAGATCAAGGAAGCAGACAGACAGTGAGCTGCACTGCCTACAATGAACAGTAACAGATTCCACTGCGTGGAAGTGACTTTTTCCTCTAATCCCCTCAGCAGCAGAAGTACTTGGTAGGTTGACACTTACCCCTGCCAGTTGAATAGGAGCAAGCTGGGCTTCAGAAGCGGGACTCAGGGTAGCACTGACTGAGGCCACAGTGGGAGCAGGGTGCTCAGAGTCGCGCTCACCAGCTGGTTCTGTATGACCCACACCATGGTGGAGGGGCTCAACCTCTCCCTGGGGGTCCTCGCCTGAATCCGACAAAGCTTTTTGCTCTGCAGGGGACTGTGAGCAGAAAAGACAACGTCCCTTCAATGCAAGGCTGCAACATGAGAGAGCAGTTGTCCTAGTGAGAGTATCTGCTAACCCATTTTTAAATTCCACTGTTTTCACAGCATGGCAGAAGGAGCTGCTTGCTGCTGAGACACCAGTTAAAATATATAGGAACTGTGTAACAACCTGCTGACTGAATTAGCTTCCCCTCCCCACAAAAAAGTATCACGTGGAACGAATAGACTTTTTTTTGAAAGTTAGCCAAAATCATCTGTGTCCCTGGCAAAGAACATTTTGCCAATCACAGGGCTGTTGGAGTTTAACTCCTTCTCTTGAACACTTAAAGACAGCTGATAGCTTTTACACCCAGATTCAGACATAAAAATAGACAATTACTGTAAATAACTGTCCTTCACTGTTTCTTCAGCTCACAATTCAGGGAGGTGAGGTTGGTTACAAAACTCTTCACGGAAATTATTTTAACATTCACACAAGACAGGTGATCCTTTCAGATTCACATGATGGTGAATTATCCAAAAAGCAACATCGATGCTTTCTTTCATAAATTAAAAAGTTTTCACATCTATTTCAAGGAGGGAGGTGACAGGAAAACTAATGCAGCCTAGTGCAATTTGGTATTTTCTGAGCTTCTGCCACAGACTTGTCATTTCTTCACATCATTTAATGCTGCACATCCCCGCTTGTAGAATAAATCAAGCATTACCATATTCTGTACACATCTGAAGAATAAAAAACTTATAGGCTTTGAGCCCAAACAACTGTATTGTGATTAAGGACTAAGTTACAGTCCATGGATAACATGCAAGCCAAGGATGTGCTCCCAACAGCGATCTGCGGGCCAAGCTTCCCAATGTCTTATGGTAAAGTATCTAAGGAATCCAGCAGTAAGGTAAAGATGAACACAACCTTGGTTTGTTCAGAGAAAACACTTGGTAGAATGAAGGGAGATTAAAAATGCCAGGTCCATGCAAGAGAGTAAACAGAAACCTCAAAAATAAACAGCAGCATTTACATCTTAAGGGTCCCAAGTTCTCCAATTAAGATTTGGCCTGTTATCATAACAGAAACAATTACTAAAAGCCTGCAATACATAAAATTTTATCTCGCAAGAAATTATTCTAATTAAGGTTGAAAATAGTTGAAATATATTTACTGGGGTAATACTATGTCAGGTAAAAGTTGGGGATGCTGGGCTTTAGTATTGACAAAATTTTCTTGGTTTAATATTTAGTTGTTACTAACAGATTCAAACATTAACTTAAAACCCCACAGAATGAGAAGAGTTAAAGAAACATTTCATTTGTCACCAGAAATTTAATCAAGTCTAGCACTCTAGCAACCTTCCTTACCTCTTTTGCTGGGGAGAACAGCAGGAAAAGGCTACCTGGAGCTGTCCCCAGCACTTACAACATAGGTATGGTAGTCACAGAGAAAGACAATATGTAAACACCTCAGTTCTCCACTTGATGCTTAATACTCATTACTCCTAATCCCTTTTTATGCTAAATCTCGCTGTTGAGGCCAGGGCATTCCACAGGCCACTAAACCCTTCTTCTTCCCCTTCAAGGGGAAACAGCCATAAATAAAGTACAACAATTAAGTCACAAGTTACCTGCATCACACTCACCACAACAGCAGCGGCACTGAAGATCTGATATTTCTCATGACTTACAATACACGTGTACTTTGGTTTTCTCTCTGCTACCCCAAATCGTCCCCACGTACCTCAGAACACAGCCCTTTCCCCCACAGATCCTCAGTCATGCCCAGCCTCCTCTGGTCATCTGCAGGCCCAAGGCCTTGACCGAGCAGAGCCAGCCTCTGCCACGGAGCTCACGCTCATCTCTCTGAGCCAGGCAGGTTTCTGGTTTTCTGGAAGCATGCATAATGGTTTTAACATTTAAACCCTCATCACCTCGTCATCAGTTCCCAGACTCTGCCAGTATTCAGCTCGGGGATCCATCGAGCCACAGCAGAGCCACATGCAGTCAGCTCCCGGGCCCAGAGCCTGCCCCTGCAGCACCCACACCCTGCCCAGCTGGCACAAGCATTGACCCAACCCTGCCATGAACTCACACGGCCTGGGAAGAACCTGCACAGGGTGGGGGCACACTAAAAGCCACGGTGCTGGAAAGTTGTAACAAGAAGGGTACTAGGAAATGGGGATGGGGATGAATCCGAGAGATTCAACAGGATGGGAATGAATTATGCTCCTTGTCAAGTACCCAGAATGATCCTCAGGATGAGCCAACCATCACCAGAGGGAATGATTAGGAAACTGCAGACAGCCAGATTGAGGTTGGAGCTTACCAAAAAGATTCAGTGCTCATAAGAGGCAAAATAACGCCTAGAGAGAGGGTGTGAAGTGTTTCCACATAATAATAGCTAAACACCTTATTGTTCTTCAGCTGTAATACATAGAATTTGGAATTAAAAGGAGCAGGCATATAACTGTGAAATCATAAGTGGCATGTAAGATGGCAAAGCAGTGACTGCCACAGAGCAAGAGTTGGAAGGATCTCATTAAACTTGGCTATTACAGGCTCAAATGAAGTCCTGCACAAAACTAAAGGGGACAAGAAGCCCATGCTGCTAAACTTCCTGTCAGAAGATGCCATGGATCCCAGTAACTCAACACACACATTCAGCAAGCAACTGGAGAAATTAGGAGAGGAAAAAAAAATAGCCTTACCAGAAATTTACATTGACTTCTAGCTACAGATCAGAAAATTGCTAATAATGCAAGAAGAGGCAAGAACATTCAATACACACTTGTGCTAGACATTTAAAAGTGGAAATGACAAATTATTTTGCAAGTAATTTCTATCAGTTTAGAACACCTAAAAGTGGGTTAAACATCCAACAGATTTTAATAAGTATAATTGGTGACAAGTATTTTAAAAAATGAAATAATGATAAATCTGATTCCTATCCTGAGTAAGACTGGAATACATGCTTCAAGACCCACAAAAGAAACAAACAAAAAAATAACAATTATTGCCAATCACCACTTTTATGCCAAAAAATCTGAAGCCAAGATGAGTAGTTCATGGCCAAGTCAATACATAAAATTATATTAGAAAAAATAAATTAATGAAAAACTACTGCAAGTTTCAGAATTTTGTGAATTCTATTTAGGAGTGTTTAGTTAGTTTAAGTCATGGAAGACAAAGCCAACAAAGGACTCATGGATTTGTCAAAACAGAACTACTCCAGGCAGAAGTTTATACAGCTGTTCTCAAGAAAGCATATCCAAGGGAAACTGCAAACTCATAAAATTAATTTTAGTCTTCATTCACACATGCTATTGAAAGTGTTTCCTAATCTCTTAACTGCATGAATTCTGAATTAAGTTCTTGTTCGAAGTTCTTTGTACCTGGTGAACAGTTCACTCTCTTCATTTTTGCTGTAATGTTTTGTCTGAGATGTGTGTCCTTCCTTGAGCCTCCTCTTCTCTACAGGAAACATTCCTTATAAAGTACAGCTCTAGGGATAACCTGGCAAAAATCTGTTCCTGTCTCCTAAATACTAAGGCAAAGATCAACAGAGAGATGAATAATATTAGGACGTTAAAATCCTCAAATATAGACAAGCAAATAATATTCATTTTCAATAAAGACTGGCACTCTTGGATCAGCTTTTCCTCACATTTCTAAGTTGCGCTATTTGCAACTCCTTTCCTCATTTTCCCCACTCTAGCCTATCCAATGGCCTAAAAAGACTACCCTCAGTACCTCTTTTCACACTTTTTACCTGCTTAGAGCCAAAGACCTCTGGTTGGTATGCTCAACAGCCTCTGACATTATCAACCTCTCTATATTCCTCCAAGGTTCACCCTGCACAACTGTCTCTCCAAATATGTTCATGACCTTTATTTTAAGAGTAGCAATGTATTCATAATTATGAATTCTTAAGCATCGATTTGAACTCCTTAAATATACTATTGACTTACTACTCAGTTCAATTAGGTATCCCTAACAAAGTCTCTTGGTGGCTGTGCTAAGGATGCTGAGAGAGCCTGGCCAAGGGAATGCTTTGCCTCTCCATACACAAGTTACTTCATCCACAATTCTCTGTCTGCCACCATCCTAAACCTACAAGTCACGCCTACAGCATGAACAACATTTTCTAGTCTAGATCTCCTCAAACCACCAAAATCAAACATTTCCAAATAACAATACATCAAATCAAGACTTCAACTAATCCCTACTTTTACATATCATCTTTTTTTTTTTTAAGCTCATGCTTTTGCTCTCCAGCCTACCTGCAAATGACATCTTTCTAATCATCTAAATCACTTTTACAACTCCACACCTACTTAAAACTCCACAGTTAAGACTGTGATGACAGCTAGAACAACTTAATAACATAAACCCTTATTCACTCCAGAACCTTCATCTTTAGGACCCAGATGCCAGTCATGCATTAAACTCTTTGCACCACTTCAGAGTGGAACCCGACCCAAGAATCGTGTAAATTATTTTCTTTCAGAGTCGTCCTTCAAAGCTCAGCACTACCAATTCACCTACAGAAAGCAGTTACACAGACCAAAACTAGTCATATAACAAGCTGTTCTTTTTCATATAAAGTGTTCTTTTCTATATTCTACCATTATCCCAACCCAGGCTGGCAAAGGGAAGAGGACAAGGTGCAAGCTACACCACAGACAATGGCTTGTTTCCAAGCACAAACATTTTTAAGTCACAGTTGCATATCTACCTTTTCTTGTACTTGAGACTAGGGAGGTCATGATGATCCTATCATGAGGAGAATCAGTAAGGACCAGAAAGATCACCACAGCTCACACTTGCAGAACAAAGGACATTACTACAAAAGCATTTTTGGACAACGTGTTTCTTTACAACACTACTGCATTAAATTTGTTCGAGCAATTATACCTGCTTAAAAATGCGTAAATCCAAAAGAACAGAATGCTTACACCTCAGAAATGCATGTTAAAAGTTAACTTCAGAAAATAACTTCAAATAACCTATGGTCAGAAACTTGTCATGAAATGGTTTTATGGCAAAGCTAAAATTAGTTTCAGAGCAGAAACACAAGTCATATCCATCAACTGAAATATTCAATTCAAAAAGTGCTGTGAAAAGCACAGCATAGTTTGTAATAAGTTATTGGGATAGATAATGGAATAACAGAAATACTCTATGCCTAACATAGCGAGGTTCGGACTTTGTGTTGTTTTCAGACCTTAACAGTTTGAGTCCTCTTAAGCTGATGCAATTTTCCAACTATCAGCATTAGAAACTCTGCCTGTCAGAAATATGAACAGCAGTGCTAACGCTCAGATATCTGGGAGACTATCTCTATTTCACACATGGTAAAAATAGTTCTCAACATATTAAGGAGATATGAAAATCACAAAAATGGAGACTCACTCAAATGTAGAAACAGCCAACTTGACATCCACCATTAATTGATATCTATAATGAAAACAAAAACAGACAGACTAATCCTGCCTTTAACTGTAAAAGAAAACAACTTGAACCTCCTCACTGAACAAAAAATTTGGAGGCAGTATTATGAACACTATGCATTTTTGGTCCCCTCTAAATTAACATGACAAACTGCAAGTTCCGATGTTCTATTAAAGTGTATAAAACCTTAGGTGGAAGACAAGTTATAAAATTAGTTTCTAGACTAGTATGAACTTTGTCCTACAACATGCTGAGTATTTGCCTACTTCTAATGGAGAAACAGATCACAGAACTACAGAATCATTTTGGCTGAAAAACATCTCTAAGATCATCAAGTCCAAACATCAACCCAACACTGCCAAGACTACCACTAACCATGTCCCCAGGTGACACATCCACATGGCTTTTAAATCCCTCCAGGAATGGGAACTTCACCACTGCCCTGGGCAGTCTTTGTGAGCGCTAGACAATCTTTTGGTGAAGAAATATTTCCTAATATCCAAACTAAACCACCTCAACACAACTTGAGATCACTTCCTCTGGTCCTGTCCCTTGTTCCCTGAGAGCAGAGCCTGATCCCCACCTGGTTCCACCCTCCTGCCAAGGAGTTGTGAAGAGCAAGAAGGTTCCCCTTGAGCCTCCTTTCCTCCAGGCTGAGCCCCCACAGCCACTCCTGGTGCTCCAGACCCTTCCCCAGTTCTGTTCCCTCCTCTGGACACGCTCCAGCCCCTCAATGTCTTTCTGGTCATGAGAGGCCAAAAACTGAAACCAGGTTTTGAGGTGAGGTGTCAGCAGTGCCAGCACAGGGGGACAGTCACTGCCCTGGTCCTGCTGGCCACACTGTGGCTGGTACAGGCTGGGTGCCAGTGACCTCCTTGGCCACCTGGGTACACCTGGGCTCATGTTCAGCCACCACTGACCAGCACCCCCAGCCCCTTCTCTGTTGCACAGTTTTGCAGCCACTCTGCCCCAAACCTGGAGTGTTCCATCAGGTTGGTGTGACCCAAATATCTGATACCTTACAAGCACAGACTTAAGCAGAGATTTCTAGAAAATAATGTTGTTTACCTTACGAGTAGACAATGTTAGTTTCAGAAAAGGCAGTAAGACCATTGAATTATATCCACCCAGCTGTAATACTGAGAGTCTGCAGACTCTGCAAAAAAGTCATTCTGCTCAGGATGTCCTGGTTCATGTGGAAGAGCACTAGGCAAACATCTTAGCAACCACCACACTGAATACACACATACAACTGAATACACAATGCAATGCTTTTCCTCACCCCGGTTTACTGTCAAACTGCTGTGTCAGCACTGAAAAGGCTCCACGAACACTTTTGCTAACAGAAAAAAAGTGACTTGCCAGACTAAATTAAAATTGCAATTTACATAGAGAAATTACATATTCAAGAAGTGTCTTGTTTACCAGTTATTTTGAAGTTAACTTGGTATTTTCTCCAAAACACTGCTCTAGGAAAAAGTCCTTTGTTAATAGAATTTCCTTGTTAACTTTAATAGGGGTAGTCTTTTGTGGCAGGCAAAGCACTTAACCAGCCACCTTTTACAGAAATACTCATAGAGTTAACTGTTAATGGGAATATTTGGCTATTAAGTTTTTCTGAAAATACAGTGAAAGGTCTCAACGAGTGTGTAACCTGAGGCACCTTTCCTTGATTAAGTTGATCAAAGCTGCCTTGAATGCTGTGTTCTGATATAAACAGTACAGATTAAGTGGTTATTACTTTTGGCTCACAGAACCACATTCTAACTATAATTACTGTTGTACCTATACACCAAAAACCAGCTACTGGCACAAGCTTTATTTAATCAAAGTGCAAGAAGCACAGCACTGATGCTTCCACCACTCCTTCTCTCCAGTGTCAAATACACACAATAGAAGCACTAAAATTATTAATCACTCTCCCTTCACCTTTAAGAAAATCCTATATCTCCATACAATACACACTTTAACATAAGCATTTATGCCTGTTACTACTTTGAAAATTGGCAACTGACAGATGCCAGACTCCTTTTGATCTGCTTCAAGGAAGAAGCCTTATTCCCCAGTCCATGTAGACCTTATTCCATGTCCAGAGTGACCATGGTTACCCCCCCTTGACAGCACCACCACCTGTTGGCATTTAGATCAGTTCCTAACTCATCTCTAACCCCTGTACCTTCACGGTGCTTGGGAACCCACAGGGCTGGACACGCACAGACCCTTCACCCCATAACTCCAGCTGTGCCTGGGCAGAGGTTGTCCTGAACACAGCAACCAGCTCAGCACCACCGCAGTCCTCAGAATTCTCAGCAGTTGAGAAGACAATCACAGATCTCTCTCTCCCTGGATCCTCTATGCCAGCCCAAAAATACATTTAACCTTTAATTAATATATTTTTTTACAAATATTTTCTTGAGATCTATCAGAGTACAACAGATGTGTCTCACAGTTTGATGCAGAAGTTTGCACAGCCTAACACTGAAGGCGTGGACTGTGCAGGCCAGTGGAGGTGTGCACTCTGTGCAAAGGTACAGCTGGAAGGAACTTGAGAGCACAAGAACTGCCATCTTGGCCCGTAAGGACCAGGCCAACCAAAAAGGACACAGGACCACATCACTCTGCCTGAGCTGCACACTGCTATGATCACTGCTTCCAGAATAACCATGGAAGCACTGCTGGGCTGAAGGACACCTGGGGAGAACACTCACCATGATGCATCTCAGAAGGCACTTCAGCAACAGTCTAAGCAACAGTGGGTAATTGGAGCTGTTTCCTAAAAGCAAATGTGATCCAAACGGATAGTGCAAGCACTAGCACTCCCTTCACTCCAAAGTACATGCAAACAATCGCTGTAAAAACCCTAACTGAAAGAATGTCTCAAAAGTACTTACTCTCAGGTAGATTTAATTTGATTAGTCAATATTAGAAGAGTAAATTTAAATCCTTCCCAAACTAAGAAAAGATTTCAAGCTCTGACGATGAATATGCCTACTGAACCTGTGAGAAAGTTCGAGGCTGGTACTTGTTCCAAACCAAAGAAAAGCTATCAACTGAAAAATGGTTCAGTATCTCAATTCAAACATTATCTGATTGCACAGGTAACATAGCAATCCAGTGATCCAACAGAAAGTGCATTGTGTGTACACAATTACACTTCTCTGGGTTCCCACCATCTTCAAGTGAAACAACGGTAACCTTGATTTTTCTTCTCCCCCAGCTCTTAATAGCTTTTACTATTGACCAGGTAGAGTTAAAAACTGGACTATATTGAGATGAGGGAACAGGATTGCCATTTCCCAAGGTAACTAACACTTTACAGCCTGCTAACCAAAGATAAGAGAGACATTTACATGTACTGAGGTGAAAAACAATAATCTAGACCAGCTCTGTTTGCTTTATCTTAACATGATTATCAGAAAAAGAAACTTCATAGATTTCTCATGCAGCTCAACTGTCAGTGTTCCTCTGCCCCTCCCCCCCCCTCAAGACACACCTTCACAGATACTTTTTCTCCCGTGGTCCATTTTCTGTCTGAGGAGCTACCTGTATTATGCTACCATGATACATCTTTCCACTTTTAGCCTCTCAGTACCTTCTTGCCCCATGCCAACTAATAATGTTAATGCTCTATTATCCATCTTCAATTTCACAGCAATATAGACAAAGGCCTGATCACCATGGAAGGAGTCAAGGCTAAGAAGAAAATAAATAAAAAACTGTATCAACATCTCCTTACCTTCTGTGCTTTATCCTTCTGAAATACAAAGACAGGTGGAGCAATGGCAGGTTTTTCTGTAAAAAGAGAAATCATTGGGGTTTTTTCCAACCACATTCATTAGTGACTAATATGAAAACGTTATGTTCTGTGATGCCTTTACCAACAATAAACCTTAAACCAGTTAAATTTCAGTTACACATATTGTTTCCACCAGCTCCCAGTAACATTTAAGGAAAAAGGGTTGTTTTAAGGAGAACAACAGAATCAGTATCTGAAAACTATTTGTCTTTCCCCTCCAGATAGTACTTGTACTGTACTTCAGTACCTCAGGAGGAAAAGACCCTTTGCTGCAGTAGTTTACAAGCTGAATAAATGCTCTTCCTTCCCCATCATCACACATTAATGAAAAGAGAGTTTGCTGTACACCTCCAGATACCCCTTCCTTAAAGGACACCTGACACTTGATTACACTTGTATTTCATTATCACTGAAAGCTTTAGAGAGGTCTCAAATCCACATTTGCACGTCTAAAACCAAATATTTCATGCATATTATTACAGAGGGATCAGTCTTTTCGGTATAACTTAAGAGCACATCTGCTTTCTACTTAAAGCTCTGAATCAAATATTAGCAGGACACGATTTTCTAAGTAAGCACATCAGCATTTAGTTTGCAAGAGCAGAATTAATTTCTAAAACGAGTGTATGTTACCATTGTCCTTCATGATCTCACAACTCCCTCAATGTCCCTAACAACAAAAGGATCCACACACGGGGCAGCGCGTGGATCGAGCAGAGGATCCACACACGGGGCAGTGCGTGGATAGAGCAGAGGTGAACTTTCCCGGCAGTTTAATAACCTGATGCACCCGGTGCACGAGTTGTATTTGCATCCACACTGTGCAGTCAGTAACCCTCCTGCATTCAGGGCTAAGGTTGAGTACAATACTGCAGTCTGTCTTCAGAACGACACTGCAGTGAAACAGCGGGATTTAGGGAGAGATGGATTTTGGCTCATTTCTTCACAAAATTTCTACTTTTGCAATTATCAAGTCTTACAAACGAATCTAGACATGTAAGAAAATTAAAATTTTTAGAGCTTTCAGAACTTGAAAGGCTACCATAAAAAAGAAATATAAAGCCATCAAGAAGAATTACCTTGCACCTAAAAATAGGACAGTATCACAAAATCCTCCATAAATCAGTTGCAGCACCAGTAAAGCACTTGGATCAGCATTTAAGAAAAAGGGGATGAGACTGTCCATTTGGGAACTGATAGCTGTTACATCAGTTTGGCTGAAAAAGTGAAATTTTAGTTGATATACATAAAGAATTATGAAAATTATTACAAGAACTGTGCATTTATTTGTAAGGGTGGAAGAGCATCTTTCTACTCCTCTGTGGATCTAAGCCAGAGGGATACCCAGCAAAAACACTGCAAGACTGATCTTGCAAGACTGGCATAACTTGTTCTACAAAAGGTAAAACTGACCAATAAATTAGGCTCCTCACTACATAATTTTGCTCTTTTTTCCCTTTATTTTCTAAGTTCTTCTGTTCATCAAGTAGTGCTGAATCTTAAAAAAGCTTATTAATAAAAGCAATGCAGACAATCCATTTCAAAAGTGAAAAACAATCTACCAACTAATGAAGGTCATTGACAGACCCTTAACTTCGATACCTGTCCCAAAAACCAGGTTGTGTGGAAACAAACCAGGAATCACTTTTGATCCCCTTGACCTCAGTAGAACCTGCTTGTGGGAGGCTCCCTCCAGGCAAGGGCCTTGACTTCAAAGTGCCACTCGTTTCTGTGCTAGAGTTTAGTTCTCATTAGTGCTCCAGCTGCAGCAGGGCCTCTGCCAAACCAGGCCGTGTGGAGATCTGCCACAACGTGGGGGCTTGACTGTGCCATGGACACCTCACCAGAGACTCCACTGATACCGAGGAGAGCTAAACAAAAAGGTTACTTGCTTTGTCTAGTGTTTAATAATGAAGTACTGAGAGAGAAGAAAGCAAACAACAAGAAAACCAGATCCAACAACAATGCAAAGAGCAGAGGAAACATGGGACAGCTGGCAAAAGACTGGAAGTTGATGCAAAGAACACAAAAAAATACGAGATGGGAGTCTGGTGATTGAAAAGCGGGAACTCAGGAAAAAAGAAGAGGGGTGTCAGGAATAGCAAAAAGCTCACAGAAAAAAAATTAGATGCAAAAACAAAGAATAAAAGAGAGTGGAAAAAACCAAATATGTGAGATTGTGGCCAGCTACAACAAATGAGACTGGAAAAAATATCTAGTAAAGCAAACTATGGCCAGGCATGCTAGTCAAGCTGGAAAAGGGAACGATGGTTCCAACGTTTGAGAGTCTCTGTCCACTGAAGGAACACAGTCCCCCAGTACCCAAGCTCCAGGAATCTCACTGTCACTCCTGTTGACTGTGAGACCAACCAACAGGATGGCATCCATCAGGAATGACTACAAGACAGCAGGCACTCACAGCTACCAACTATACCAGTGCTTACTCAGGCACTTATTTCACAGGAGAATACTTGTTCACTGTGTCACTGAAGTCTACAAGAAGATCACAACAGTGGAAACATTTCCCTCCTAGTTCAAGGCAAGATTGTCTAATCCGACCACCTTCATTAAACACAGCATATTTTTCTGAGCCTTATTTAAGTTTTGGGGAAACATTTTCATTGAAGGCATTAAAAGCAAAATATTATTCCCCTCAATCATCCATTACCTCACGTGGTAAAAAACACTAGTGCCAAATTTTCCATTAAAATGTCCTGCTTCAGCTTTCGGTTCTGATTCCTAGTTACATTTTTTAAATGTCTTTATATAGAGCTCTGAGAAAGTCCAACCACGTAAGAAGGAAAGCAAACCTTCAGTAATTAATGTCAGAGGCAGTGCATCTCCAGTCTGAAGATCTGGAACTCGTACAAACCTGAATGGTGGTAGGCTGTCAAATCAGTCTGAAAACCAACTGAATCCACAGAATTCCTTCCTGCCATTTATTCCCAAGTTACAGATATTTCAACCTGCGTGAATAACTACAAAAACCTTGAGAGCTGGCTTTCACAGGCTCAATTTCTTTAACATATTTTACTGTCAAGTCATTAACTATCAATAAATCCCCTAGGTGCTGTCAGAAAAACGTGTACTCTTAAACCTTCTCAGCTTCCTTCACAAGCCTTTGAAACCAAAACGCAGAAAGAGAAAATACTACCTCAATGGCTCAGGCAGAGATACTTCAACTCATCTCATATCTTACTCATATACACTCTTTAATGTGAGATTTTTATCTTAGATACGTGAGCATTAGTACCTGTAGCAAACTCTCCCATATCAACCCTATTTTCCACAGGCAGACAAACACCCATTCAGATCAACACAACCATAGCAACAGGTACACCTCTAGCAGCTAAGAGATGTTAGACCTTCACTGCATCATGGAATGAGCCATTACTGAAAAAATCTGAGGGATCAAGGGCAACAAGAAAAGTTTCTGTAGGTACACGGGTGATAAGAGAAAGGCTAGGGAAAATGTGGACCCTCTTTGGCAGGAAATAGAAGACCTGGTTACTTGGGATATGGAGAAGGTTGAGGTACTCCATGACATTTTTGACTCAGTCTTCACCAACAAGTGCTCCAGATGCACTGCCTGAGTTACAGAAGGCAAAGGCAGGGACTGGCAGAATGAAGGACTGCCTGCTGTAGGAGAACAGGCTTGAGACCATCAAAGGAACCTGAGGGTGCACAAGACCATGGAACCTGATGACATGCATCCAAGGGTCCTGAGGGAACTGGCAGAAGAAGTGGCCAGTGGTCACCGAGACGTCATGGCCATCTGGTAAAGTTCCCACAGACTATAAAACATAACCTCCATTTTTGAAAAGGGGAAAAAAAGGAAGACCTGGGGAACTATAGGCCAGTCAGTCTCACTTCTGTGCCAGGCAAGATCATGGAGGAAATCCTCCTGGAAACTGTGCTAAGGCACATGGAAAATAAGGAGGTGACTGGTGACAGCCAGCACGGCTTCACTTACAGCAAACTATGCCTGACAGATTTGGTGGCCTTCTATAAGTGGGTGATAGTGTTGGTGAACGAGGGAAGAGCGACTGACATCATCTACCTGGACTTGTGTACAACATTTGACAGGAAATCCTTGTCCCTAAATTGGAGAAACGTGAGTTTGACAGAGGGAACACTCCCTGGATAAGGAACTGGCTGGCTGCCACACTCAGAGTGGGGGTCAACAGCTCAATGTCCAAGATTGGGACCAGCACTGTTTAACATCTTTGTCGGTGCCATGGACAGCGGCATCGAGGGAAGCCACAGTAAGTTTGCCAATGACACCAAGCTGTGTAGTGCAGTTGATGCGCTGGAGGAAAGGGATGGGTCGTCCAGAGGGACAAGGACAAGCTGGAGAGGTGGGCCTGTGCAAACCTTACAAAATTCTACAAGGCCAAGTGCAACTCCCGCACCTGGGTCAGGGCAATCCCAAGCACAAACACAGGCTGAAGAGGGAAGGGATTGAGAGCAGCCCTGAGAAGGACTTGGGCATATTGGTGGATGAGAAGCTCAATATCACCTGACTATGGGCACTCACAGCCCAGAAAGCCCCCGTGTCCTGGGCTCATCCCCACAGCATGGGGGAGCAGGTGAAGGGGGGATTCTGACCCTCTGACCCACTCAGGTGAGACCCCACCTGGAATCCTGCATCCAGATCTGGGGCCCCAACATCAGGAGGATGTGGAGCTGCTGGAGCAAGTGCAGAAGAGGCCACAGAGATGGTCCAAGGGCTGGAGCCCCTCTGCTCTGGAGACAGGCTGGGAGAGCTGGGGGTGTTCACCTGGAGGAGAGAAGGCTCCAGGGAGACCTGAGAGCCCCTTCCAGTGCCTAAAGAGGCTCCAGGAGAGCTGCAGAGGGACTGGGGACAAGGGGGAATAGCTTCAAACTGACAAAAGGCAAACTTAGATTAGATATTAGGAAGAAATTCTTGACTGTGAGGGTGGTGAGGCACTGGCACAGGTTGCTTCATGGAGCTCCATCCCTGGCAACATTCAAG